GTGATTAAATAATTTTATATAAACTTAGTTAAATAATTACCTTATGTTATCATTATATAAAATGAAGTATACTTTACTACTTAACAAATAATAATAAAAAGAAATAAACTATACTACTTAACAAATAATAAAAAATTGCGCAATTTTCGTATTATAAAAGAAGTGATGTATATTATTACAATATAAAATTTATTTCAAAAAGAACAAATTTATTAAATTAAAGATAAATTAACTTATTATGCAAGTGTCCGTGTGCCTCTATGTGTATCATTTTCACCTTACTCTAAAAAATTATTATATACCTCAAAAATATAAATTATTGTCAATCTTTTGTGTGTCCACAGTCCACACATAATTGATACAAAGGATAGTTTTGTTCGAGTTAATAACTACTTTGACAGTTGGTATATCACACATTTCGAAAAAAATAAACTGTTACCTAATATATTAAAATAATGGTATAACATTTTTATTTGAAAAAAGTTTGTTATTTACCATGAAAGGTCCAATTTTATGTAATATTCATTCATTATACTTTTATAAGTTATAGTGTCTACAATACACTACATACACTTTCCTTAATGTAATCTTTTATGATGTTTTATATGTATATCATATAATTTTAGCCACCAATTACATAACTCATATATTTATGGTACACTTAATTTGTTATTACATGTACATTTAGGAGGAGGAGAATTACTGTATTTTGTCGTAAATAATTATCATTAAAAATGAACTAAAATTTTAGCGCTCATTTTATGTTTTTTATTTCGACAAAATAATATTTAAAAAAATGGCCGAATCGCTATAAAAAAATGAAATATATATCCGTCTGAAAAAAAATCAAACGCCTGTAGAAGGCAAAATTGTATGTCCATGATTTTTTAATAAAATTGCCTCGTCTCGGATTTTTTTTAAGAAGGGAAGTTTAAAAATATGAGCAGTAGATAAAATAGTAAGCGCTAGAGGTCTGCAAATGATAAAATTTCTGACTTGGCTGGAATTTAGATTTCGCCCGGCCGGTTTCCAAATTTTTACTTAGGTTGTCCAACCTTCCATTATATGACCCGTGGTAGATTAAAAAAAATTTAAACTCTAGCACGGATTTTCAAAATTAACACTTTCCGACCTGCCTCGGCTTTTCATGTCTCCCAAAAAATAAAACATCCCAATTTTAACAAAATTTTTATATTAAAGTTATCCTATAAATAAATGGCAAGTATTTTGTCTCCGCGCCTTTTTGTCGGGGACATTTATGTCCAATCAAACCCTCAAAATAAACCTAGTCCGGATATGAAAAAAATTATATTTTTTTGATACAAAAATATAATTATTATAATTACAACCAAAAAATCTTCTTAAGTGGATATTATCTAATCATTACATACCAAAATAAGTTTAAAATAACAAACAAACCATTTTTTCCCCAATTCACACATGAATTAAATTTTCATAAATAATTTGCTTTAAAAGGACAATTTAAATATTAAATAACGTTTATTTTTGAGATGCGTGTCAAGGTAAGTCATAAATTTTAATACATTTATGTACATATTTATTATATATATTTTTTTAAAGATACTAAAAAAGATAAAATATTAGCTATCAATTAATTATATCAAAAATAGTATTTTTATTTAAAATTAATTACTTTTTTAAAAATTTTTAGCTAGGGATCAATTTGTTTTAAAATTTATTAATTCGCTTAAATTATCTTTTACCTTGTTCAAAATATTGACCTTAAAAATAATTAATTAATTTGATTTTTCAAGTTCAATAATTAATTAATATATACCTATAGCTATAAAAGTGAAATGCTTACAGAAAAACATTTATTATTTCATTAAAAAAGAGTTTTATTTGTTTTAGATATATCCTTAAATGGAACCTCTTTTAGACCCCCCCCCCCCCTTCCCCAATAAACATAAGAGAACAATATCGGACTCGGAGTGGGTTGGGCAAATATATACTTTATTACAAGGAAATCTGGAAAAATATAAAATAAGTTTTTTTTTTGAAAAATCCCGGACAAGTATTTGCAGACAGAAATTATAAAATCCTTTTTTGTTAATCTTGATTTATCCACATTCTTTCTATTCATAAAAGCGTTAAAACAAAATGACTCAAAAAATTTGTTAAGGTTCATCTCGGGCCCAAACGAAAATTTCGACTGAGTTTGTAGAAATGCCTATTCGAGTTCGGTCGGATTAGACTCGACCTGCTCGAAATGAGTGAGGATGCGAAACTTTACCGAGAAAGGATCGATATTTTCTTTATCAGTATACTCTATAAAGTGAACTAAATTTCAAGGTCCCATCACTATTTAACATAATGAAACTTACTAGTGTTGCTAAACGGCTCGTAACTCAATATTTTAGCCTGAAAAATATTGCCTAAGCCTCGAGATTTCGCTAATAGATGTCTAAACCTTTGTGCCATTTATGACCAAAATCTTCAAGCTTTATTAATATTTTTCTATAATAAAAGCCGTTTTTAAAAATCGGTTCAAATTGCTATTATATAGTGAATAATATTCATTTTTGAGCTAACTAAAGTAAGAATGTATTAGAGCAAGATTAAGATATAATTTTTTTTTCAAGGTTTCATTAAAATTTAGTTAAATTATAAATATTTGAAAATTTTACGAATTTTATAATAATAAATTATATTTTTTATAAATTAAAAAAAAACACAGGTTTAAAAGTTTTATTCTAAAAAGCAAATGCTATCATGTAATAGAAGAAAAAAAATATTCTAAAATTCGTTTATCTTCATATCACATTAAATTAAAATTTTAGGTTAATTATTGAGGTTAAAAATAATCTTTTTTTGTTATAACAAATTTTCCTTTAACTTCTTTTATTTTGAAAACAAAATATATAAATTATTATTGATAAAATTTAAAATATTTTTGATGGTTAAATAGATAGTTTATTATAAAATATAAATTTTCTATAAAATTTATTATCAAAATAATCATAAAATTAATAGTGTTTTGTGCTTTATTATGTAATACAAAATTTATAAATTTTAATGTAAATATTATTTTATGATAAATTAGAAAGAAAAGATTTTTTTTCTTTTCTTAAAAATAAAAGATTATAACCCACCAATTAACTTTCATTGTTAATTTTAAAATTAATTGAAAGTTAAAAAAACATGTTAATATTTAAGTTTCTTTTATTTAAAAAAAAATATTCACAATCAATATTTCTCCCTTATATTTTGATGCCAAACAAAAATTGACATTTTAAAAGTTATTTTGAAAATTGGTAAAAGTGTTTTTTTAAAAAAAAAATAAAATAAAATGCTTATTACGAATTAATCATTATATTTAAAAAGTGAAAACCTTGATTTCAATCAAATATAAAATGAGCACAAATGACGATATTTGATATTATTGAATTAAATATTTAAATAAAAAAACTGTTTGATTTAGGAACTAAAAATAAAACAATTTTATTCCTTAGAAAGTTTTAAAAAAAATATGTTTAGCTTGTAATATTTAATTAAGTTCAAATATTATTATTTAGTTTATTCAAATTAAAAATATCTAATTATATTGTGTCTATGTAATTTCTTCGAAAAAGTATTGAGAAATTTAGTGATGTTAATCGGCTCGTTTTGAGCAGATTTTTAAAAATGGCTAACTCAATATTTAGCCAGAAAAATATTGAAGCATCGAGATTTCGCTAATATATGTCTAAACCTTTGTTCCTTCTACAAACAAAATCTCCAGGCTTGCGTAATATTATTCTGGATGAAATATTGAGTTAGCCTTTTTTGAAAATCGGCTCAAAACGAGCCGTTTAACAACACTAGAGAAATTGTCAGTTATATATTTTTTTCTCTTAAATTCGTAAAATTTTAAAAATATGATAAATCTCTATACGTTATTTCTTTGATATTTTATAAATAGTTATATTAAAATAAAATTAGAGAATTTGATTTATAGTAAATGTAAATAATTTTGCCAACGTTCATTTTTAAAAATTCAAGGAATTTTATTTTTTAATACTTAAATCACACATATCTATTAAAAAAAATTAACACAGCTTAGGGCATTGTTGCATAAAATTACTCAGATAGGAATTAGAAATGCGTAATTTGAATTAAGTATATCCAGTATTATTTTTTAAAAAAAATACTTTATCAGTCGACATTTTTGATAATAAAACTTCAATGTTATATTATATTTGTGATTCCTATATACACATCACATTTATAAATTAAATATAAAAGTAGGTGATTTGACATAGGAATGAGGAATTATATAAGCATCTTCTGATCAGGTTTAAAAGAGAAATAGTTTAATTTTTTTTATGATGCTTGTGTCTATGTAGTAAAAAAAAATAAGAGTAAGGTAATTAATAAATAAAATTTATTACATGGGAAATTTTTTTTTTAAAATCATTATGTTATGCAATGATTTGCACGAAAATTAATTTATTTAATATCATGATAAAAATATTTAAACTTACAAATTTTATTCAAACTTTATTAATTTTTTATTTTTTTTTTATTGAATTTTATTTAATGTAAAAGATATAGTAATAATAATAAGAAGAAGGAAGAAAAAAAAATATAACTTTCATGGAATATTTTTTTTTTATATAGGTGATTAACTCGAAACTTTTAATGCGACTTCTTAAGCTTGTTGTGATATGATTACAAAAAAGAATATTTTATCTCTTTGACTCCACCCTTTTTACTTTTAGATAATTTGCTTTAATATTTTTTATTAAATAAAATATTTACCTTTTTTTTACAGACCTGAGCCATATAATCAATATGAACATTATTCCTTGTCACACACATCATCCAGTACTTCCAAATTTTTATTCAAATTAGGGAGAGAAAAAATTTTATGCAGACGATAAATTTCTTCGTAAACCAATAAAATGTGTTATCCACATTAAAAAAAAAATTAAAGTTCTTTTTGCTGAAATTTTATAAAGAAATCTAAAATCATCACGTTTTGTGGTTTTTAATGTATTTCCATGACACTTTTTTAATTTTTTTAAAAACAAATTGATGAGTTTTTTAAACTTTTTAAAATTAAAACCAAAAAAATGAAAAGAATTTTTTTTTTAAATAAAAGATCTCTATAAAATTTCTGATCAATAATGGTCATCGATAAAAATAGGGCTTACAACGATATGAATCCAAGCGACGCGTCATTATTAAAAAATCGGGGAAACGGATTCTTTAAACCCGAAAAATATTATCGATCGCAGTTGAGAGGAATTAAATCACCCATGATGATCAGAATAGCCGAATCTGGTAAATCAAAAATAAATTTATAATATTATAGTGAGAATCGACGATCCAGGATCAAATCATTTAACAAACCGAATTTTTTTTTTTTAAAAAAAGGCCTACAAATCAAGTTTTGAAACTAATTGTGGAACGATCTCAGCCCTGATTGTCGATTTTCACTCATTATAAATCCTATCATCTCATTTTTTTAAAAAAATCTTTTCAGATTTACCATTAAAACGAAATCAATTTATTCCCCCAAAAATTCCGGCGAGAAAAAGTTTTACCCTTCCTCACAAATCCTTGCTCTTTCAAAATAATACTAGTAAGATATCCGTCAGAGCGGCCTCTGAGCAACAAAATTATACGAAAACGAACGCTAACACTAATAGGACAGATTCCGATGACGAATTTCATGAAAATTACAATATTCGTGGAACCTTATTAATTCCTGCCCGCAAAAGTTTACCCTCCAAACACGATATTTATTTATCGAATCGCATTCATCCTGCCTCTAGATACGAACTTCATAAAGCCGATATCAATGCAGACGATAACGATTACCCTAAAAGCGACTGCGGATATTATGACAAAGATGTGTACGAGGAAATTTATAGCGATCCACGGCATTCGCTAGAATCTCAAGACAGCGTTCCTCATTACAAAAAAGTAAACATTTTTTTTTCATTACTAAAGTTCTATCATTCATAATTATTTTTTGACCAATTTCGGGTAATGGACTATATTTTTAAATTGATCAAAATGGCCAATAGAAAAAAATGTCTATTTTTGATTATCATTGTTAATAATTATATCATACATAGGTAATTTAGAAAAATATATATGTTTAGTTATTCTTTTTACTCCATGTAAACATTTTTTTTATGTTTAGTGAAAAAAATAACGGATGATGGCTGATATTACCTCGATATCTTATCTGGTCGGTCTCAAAAATTCTGTATCGAACACCTTACTTTTTTTTAAATGTAATTTACTATTATAAAAAAAACTCTCACTAGACCTAAAACAAATTATTTGTAAAAATACAATAAATAGGTTGAAATTTTTTTTTATTTTTTTTAAAACTATATCTCCATATATATTATTAATCGTGTTTTTTTCCGTCTGTTTTAGACCATTTAAAGATAATTATTTCAATTAAATTTATAACATAGAACCTACTACTAATCCATTATTACTTTTATCATTCCTTTTGCCTCCCCCCTACCCCCCCCCCCCCCAAGATTTTTTCCCCTCTTTATTGCATATAAATATTTTTCGAATAGAATGGTCATTATTGCGTAGTTTATCTAATCAGCGCTATCATTTTTTTTTAAAAAAAATTCTAAATAGCTCTCTGAATAGAATGTGATACTTAGTAAATAAAATACAAAAAGGTACACCTTTAGCTATTAAAGGTCATCCTATGAAATAATCTATAAGAATAATAGAAAGCCTAACTGCTCGAATGTTCTATTCGGAATTAAGAACAATATTTATAAAGAGCTAGAATGTAGTTTTACTACTATTTGTAAATTTGTAAGATTTAATTGTTCATTTTATCATTCACGCCCATACCAATAATCCACTTATTTGATTCATTTTTATAGGCCTATTTAAATTTTAGTTTAAAAAAATTTACGTTTACTTTTTAGGTTAAGGTATTTATTTTTTTATAGGTACATTTTTTTTCCGGGAATGAATGGCAAATTTTGCTTCATTGGCATTGGCCACAATATGGCCTAATTATTTTCAAATGTAGTTTTTTTTAACCCCATATTATAAATTTTTTAAAATTATTATTCTGCTCTAAGCAGAGTTTGTCTTAATATAGCGTGAATAAATCTTAAAGTAGACTTACTTGTAGGTTCGGAGTGATCGCCTGCTCTTTATTTATCGAAGCATTTATTTGGAAACTCTTGTTCCGAACCGATACCAGGCTATGATTTATCACTCATTTTAAAATTGAAAATAAAATGGCGTTTTGCAAAATTAGAAATGATATATTTCAAGTTTAGGATGACACTGACTATCATAATGATATTACACTTGAATGAAATTAATACATAAATTGAGTTGTCAAAAATAACGAATTCAATTTTGAAAATTATTAAGCTTTATTTTAATTTTTTTTAGCATTTTACTTTCTCGAAGCTATTTTTTTAATATATATTTCAATATTTTTGAATTAAATTATAATTACACATAAAAATTACGAAACATTAAAAAAAAAATTATAATAAACATTTATCGATAATTTAATAGATTCACACGGTTGGAACTCAATCACACTTTCCCTCTTCGCCCGTGCAACACTACCAATATCGCGTCAATATCAATACCGACGATATCGATTCTCCGCTATCCCCTAATCAGACATTTTCCTCGGCCATATCTGACTTCTTTCCGTCACGCTCCTCTCCGATTTCTCATTTACCCTCCTGCCACACCGTAATTTCTCCGATTTATTCTTCCGTATCCCCCGAATACGGGGACTTATACGAACAACGGAAAGTTAATAACCGAAATCTTAAGAGTCAAAAAAATAATTTAGATAATAATATGCGGAATAGCAATAATGATAGACAGGAGATAAATAATAATATTCATCACTCGAATTGCTATTCCAAACTCCCGCTGATTACTCGCTACATGAATTCTCAAACGGATCCCTGCGATGACGAACATTTGAAATTGCCATCGCATCATCGTAACAGGGACTCCCTAGAAAACGCATTCGTTGATTTCGAACGCAACGCTTCGGAATATTCGTATTCTTCCAATTCCAACGCCGCCCAAAACTACGAAGACAAAAGCAATGGTCCTCGATTGACTGATTTACCACCCAATTTGGCTAAGTCAAAAAAATTTAGCGACCCAATACCAGATTCAAACAATGGTCACGTTAATGATTTCGAAACGAAGAGTTTTATTAGGCTCAGAAAATTCTCCGATTGTACAGGTTATGACCGCAATAAACGCGCCATCGATTTATTGTCTGACCAGGAAATTCCTAGATATGATAACACCCTCAAAGTTCCGTACAAATCCAACGGGGTAGTAACTTCCGGCGCATATTCTAATCGACACTGGAGACTCATAGTCGAAGGAGAAGGGTTAGATAGCGACGGAAAACTTTACAAATGCAGTGAGAAAAAACCTTTGGACGGTTGTGAAGGACACAGAAACGATTATTTAGGCTACAATGGCGACAGGAAAAAAAATTACATACGCGATGACCATACCAGCTTAAGGCGCCTTAATGGGGAGTGTAAACGCGGGGTTAATAATGATTTTAAAACTTGCCTTAATTGTCGGCACAAATCATATAGCCTAAAGGAACATCATTGTCAAATAAATACGCCGGATTCTAAAGATTCAACTTATAACAAAGGCGCCTCTGATAATTGTCACAGTGACAAAGTATTTAATTGTAATAAAAACCATGACATGAAGGATGATAAGGATGAAAATTTGCTCGTACCTCATAATTTGAAAACCTCTAGGAGAGTGGAAGCAAGGCAAAATGTTTTGAAATTAAATATGGGAACCAATAATTACAAAGATAACGGGAACACAAATCAATCTAGTCCGAACCAGAAATATGCTAAAAATGTAACAGATTTTGTTTCAAGTGATTCTTCCAAGAACCCCTCATTTTACGCACACTTGAATGGCAACGTTACCCAACCCAATTTTCAGGATAATGAATGCGTTCTTGCACCCTCTAAATTTGATTTTCCTATGGATTTATCTGACCTCTTAAGTGAATCAAAAAAAAAATTATGCCAATCTTTTGATAAGGAAGGCAAAAATTATACCGATTTTTATGCCAATCACTTTATGGCACATTCAGAAGACAGCGCTAACCATGAATGCGATCCAAAATTAGAACAATCTATGCTTGACACACCTGAATTTGCTTGTTCAAAGAAAGATATCGATTATAAACTTAAAGATGAACATGAAAGCCTAATGATTGCCAATAAAGCGGTTCCCATAGAGGATTATCAAAACAATACGATGAACACTAATTATCAAAGTATTAACGGTACGGTAACCATCATTCCCATTCCCAGAGAAAAATCTCTTAAATTTATCACCGAATTCGATGAAGTTAAAATATTCCCCAAATCCAATCATACCGCCAGCGATATATCAGGAAATCGCCCTGACGCCATAATCAAACAGAATCACGTAACTCCCATTCATTCGAAGGATCCTATTGACGCCATCATTCATACCAAAAACTCGGCAGACTTTCAAATTCTTGATAAATCATGCGAAAACGCAGAGACCTCGTTAATTCACCCTGATCCATCCAATACGGAAGAACTCAGTTTTCAGAAGCAAATCGAAACGTTTTCATTTAACAAAACAAAAAATAGCGGCGCAAGAAACGCAAGGACCAAATTTTTTGCTGAACCCCTTATCACATCGCCACCTAAAAGTGTCAACGGAAAGAATTGCATAGGTCCACCTAAAAATACCGTTTCCGCGATAAAAGACGCCGAAAAAAATAATAATTCGTGCCAACTTCTTTTAGAGCTGAAGAATCGTTTGCAGAGCAGGAAATCCTCATTTAGATAACATCGGCCTTTTGGAATTAAAACCCAGTCCTTTCGGGGTTCAACTTAAGCCCTTTACTTCCTCCAAAAAAATTGATGAAGCGATAAAAGTAAGCGATAATTTGATTTTACGAATAGATCAAACAAAATCAACGCCCATATCAACAGCAATCACCGAAACAATTTTAACTTACTGCTCAATTTACGCGAATCTGTCGGTACCAATTATAACGACTTTAGGTAATGGTATACTCTCCACCGTCGATAATTCCCCTAAAATCATTAGCGCTTCCAAAATCAATCTGACCTCTCTCAATAATGTACCAACGGATCTCCTAAATTTCGATAAAATTTCGAGCGATGTCGAAAAAGATTTTAACAAAAATCTAGAATGCGGAATAGCCTTTGGGCAATGTCATTCGAATACTCAAACCTACATGCTATCTCGCAAAAATATGCCTTCCCTCCATTCCAACACCTTAACGAATACGCTATCCATCATAAATTTGCCGAATATCGATATCGTGGAACATCGTAACGAGGATGATTTAGCCAGAAAATATTTGCCGCCCCAAGAAAATCAATCTATTAAAATGGTATCTCCAAATAGCTCAAGCCAAAAACACGCGAATGACAAGTACATTTATTATATATTTATAATCTGTTTTTTTTCTCTCGAAGTGATAATAAATATCAGAGACCTGTAGAGGTACCATTTTTAGGCCCGGCCCGGATTTTTAAAAATATATTATATTTATTTTTTATTTCTTATAGCTAATAATGGCTATTTAAAATATTTGTTTTTAAAATATACGGCCCGATATATAAACTTTTTTAATAATCTTTAAATAAAAATGATATTATACTTTACAAGATTCAAAGACCGTTGTGAAAACGAAAAAATCTTTCCTAACTCAGCCTTATCCAATAAAGCGGCTTTTAATTCAACCAACCCGTTTTTTACTGCGTCTCTATATCTAGTTGATCAAAGTACGAACACATTACCGCTAATTCCTCCTCAGCCTCTACCCACGCTAAAGATAGATGTCGGAACCGGGGGAAGTCTTTCCATCAACCATCCATTTTGCATTATGTGCAACGAATTGCCGCCAAAAAATACACCCGTACCCGACGAACCTTCCATACCCATCACTTGCGATAATTCGACGAATACGGGGAAAATGGATATCTTTTCTAAAGAAAAAAGGGATATGGCAATCGAATGCCTTTTGATACCTGAAACTCTTGGATCTCCGAAAATGTCTAACACGGATACATCATTCCTGGAGAATAATACCGACAGTAGCGCACAAAAACCTTTTGATCACGTCGATTCCCTTCCTTCCACACCCAAGGCCGCATCTCTGGCCCCGCCAACCAGTCAACTCTTAAACTCTTTCGTGGAAACTTATCGCTTATATTCTAAGGCTGGAAATATGTGTCTATGCCCCCTTTGCGATTCTATGATACGAGATGCCGCTAAGACGCTGGCGGAACGTAAAGTTAACATTACTTTACCCGCTTCCACTTTAAAGAGTTCCCTTCCTTTGATAAGTGTTAATAAAAATATCAATGTTAAAACGTCTCCCCAGAACCCCACATTACATATAGGCGACAATAGCCATACAAATCAAAGTACTTTAAAACCCGATGAGAAACATTTAATATTAAACCGGACAGATCCGAATAATTTAGCATCATCTCAACCTTCCCCGAATATTTCTACGGTAAGATCGTGTATACCCGATATTCATAATCTAACCCATAAATCACTACCGGATCATTCTTCGTGCCAATCATCGTCCCCGCTAAAAGTGGTAATCGCGAACAATAATTATCCCGATTATCACGAAGATGCAACGATCCCATCGGCTAATAGAATAATTCCCAGAACCTTATTATCGCCTTCGTCTTCTATAAAATCGGACGGATTTTTGATTAAGAATCTGGCAAGACCTGATGACCTGATTTCTATTCCGGACACCGTTAGCGAAATGTGTGCGAATATTGATCGGGATAGGATAGACACGAACGGATATGACGATTGCCACTCCGCGCGAATCGAAGCCTTCTTGTCAAAAGAGCGAATCGAAGAGATGTAGGCATTTATAATTCTATATTATTTTGTGAGAGGGGGAATTTACATTAAACGCTTGGTCAAGCGGTGCGGTATTTAAGGCTGCGTTATTTTCAAAATCAAACAAATATGGAGCGTAATGATGACAGCGCTATGATAAAATTTAAAAAACATATGTTGCGATGTATATTTAAAAAAATATTATCGATGTGAAGAATCAGCTGTGATTTCGAGAGTGTTAATTTCCGAAGGCGTTTATTATAATTTCGAGAGTGTTAATTTCCGAAGGCGTTTATTATAATTTCAGAGTTATATTTTATGAAATTTCAAAATCAATATATTTTAAATGTCTCTTATAAAGTAACTAAGGCCGCATTTATAGTAAGCGCATTTTGAACGCAACATTATTACAAAATAAAGCCAATAAATAGATATATATTTATAAATATGGGTCGTTATGATGATAACGCTATGATAAAAATATGAAAAACATGTTGCAATGCGTTGATAAAAAATATGCGATACGATTATAAAAATAAGCGAACTCGATAAAAAGGTATATTATGTAAATAATTATTTCTATTTTCGTATTATCTATTAAATTATCGCTGTGAAGAATCAGCTGTAATTTTGGTAGCATTAATTATGCAAAGCTTAAAAAATGCAGCGTAAGGCCATACCAGAGCGTTTTTTAATCATTATAAAAAAATTTATATATAGTCGCTTGAAGTACATGATAATAATTTAGTGCTAATGCAATTAGTAAGCAGAATGATAAAAAAATTTAATTTGCAAAAGCTTGAAGTATTCAAAATGTTTAAAACGCCATTCTGCAACGCTTGATTTTTGACTTGCTATCTTATAAAATTATCTCAAACACTGGATCGCTTTTGTATGGCGATGTCCTATAAATGAGATAAGATTTTGGAGTATTTTACCTTTACAAAATATCATTTTAAACTTATTTTGATTTGAAAAATAATGCACTACACTACAAATTTATAATAATAATACAAGTTTAGATAGATACTTTGCAAAATAAAATATATTCCAATATATATTTGGTCAAATAATTATTTTTTCCTGGAGGAAAGCTAATGGAGATATACACATCGGAGACCCCCCCCCTTAAATCCATCATAGAATGTAATAATGATCCGACCCTATTCTAAAAAAAAAATTTCAGACTAGTTTTGTACCCTCTAAATAAAACATGGTTTCTTACCAAGAAACAAATTTAATTAAACATGCCCCAATTCAAAATTTTGATTAATAATGGAACATTGAAATATATATTTTTTGGCTAATAATGAAGATCACTATCCGGGATTCGGTTCTTTTCAAAAAAAGATGCACCGATACTTAACCTATCCGTCAATATCGTTATTGGCGAATACTTTCAATTTTAACCGATAGGAGTGGTCGGCTACCCAAAAATGTTAAATAAATTTCATAAATTATTAATAAAAAATTAAATTATATATCGACGATATAACATATCTTTTTTTTCTAAATTACTATTTTTAAAAAAACCGGGTTTTCAATGTTTAAATCGGCTTATTTTATGTCTAAAAATCAAAATTTTAAATGTATGAACCTAAATTTTTTAGATTTTTTTTTAAAAAAATTAAATATTTTTCTCTCAGCACTTTATTCGTTATTTTTTTGCATAACAAATATTTTTATTTTCAATAACAAAAAAGTACGATTTAATTATTTTTTAAAGTAAATTTATACTAAAGTTATTCAAATTTGTGCTGGGTACAACCGTTGTCGATAAATAGTTTTGTTGCAAAGGTAAAAAGATATCAGGGGATTTCGATAAAATGCTTGAAATTTGTATCTTCTTTAAAATTTCCTTCAAATTATTAAAATCTTTTTTTTGTTGTCTTACTATGGTGTAATTAATCAACCCATTTTTGACTGATCGTGATTATATTTAAAACCAAATTTTCGTTCCACAAAAAAAAATACATTTTTCTTATAACGAAAATTTGTGCCGCCCTTAGCATTATTCTCAGGATAAATTATTATAATATCATGCGGTTTTTTTATTGTTATAAAATTTTTTTTTTTTTGATAATTTGTATTATTTGCAAATGGTGATAAATTGATTATTAATTTTTTTATTAATAATTGGGGGAAAAAATATTTTCTTTATGATACCCATATTCTTTTGTTAAAATGCTATGTACCTTTTATAATGGCTTTCAACGTATGTTTTGACGAATTTATAAATTTATAATATATTTTTTAATTGCCACCACATGTAGCGTGGTATCTTAATTGTCACACCTATTATACCTTTTTCCCATAATTTTTTTTATTATTATTAATGCATTCATTGTACCCGTATTTATTTACCTTATTTTTTTTTGTGTGTACGCATATATTTTACATTTTTTTTTCTTGCTTTAAATTAATTATTTTTAATAGAAAAAATTTTGCCATGAAACCTTTCACATAAATGTTTTATTCTTATTATTATTTTTTTTTTACCCAATTAAAGCATAAACAAGTTGACCACTAAGCGAGCTTCCTTCAGGCTTAAAAGGAGCAGAACTGCCGCCGCTATTATTCCGTCGAATAGAATCAACGACAACGCCAAACAGCTGTCTTCGCAGGATAATAATTCTGCTTTCAATTCGTCTTGCGTTGAAAGCGATGAAATCAAGCAAAATTATACTGTACGTTCTCGCACAAATCCTGATATCGCGTTAAAGGATAGGAACTCAAAAATTACTAGTCCACCTACGTCTTTAATCTCACCGGAAAAACAAACCGAAATAATTTTGATAAAAGAAGAAGCTGTCAAATCTATTCAATCCAATGTTATCATATCAACTCATATAAGCTCCAATCTGCCCATAACAAGCATGCCTGTGATAAACAACGATTTCAAACGGGAATCAAACAACCCAACAATTGAGAACAGGGACATGTTCGGAAAATTTCGTTATTCCCTTCAAAATTATAGGAGAAAAATGGCCAGGGACCTTAAAACAGCATCCCCCTTGCCTCCTTCTGCTACAAACGTCATTTTCCGCTCCAAAGACGATCTAGATTACAAAGACGGGGTTAGGATAGAATACAACCCACTCAATAACTTCGACGAGTCACCTTACGACATTAAAAATTTTACGAAGGACAATTGCGTGAGTCACAACTCAACTTCTAACGAAATTCTAAATGGCCATAAGATACGCCCCCAGCCATCTAAGCATTTAGATGATTCGGACGAAGATGACGCTACAGCTACCGAAGAAGGTCATTACGATGTGGCTACTAATAGGATAATTCTCACTGCATCAAATAATAAATCGCGAAGTCCCACGAACAACAATAATAATCCTAGGTGGATACCTTCTTTCACATCTAATAAAGGGGGTAAAACACATGGCAGATTTGAAAATTCTTCCCTAAATAATGGCAACAAATTAAATGGGCCCGGGGTTTACGGAATATCTTCGGTTAATAATTTACTCTACTACGAACCTATAATGGAAGATCCAGCTGAAAAGTGATATTAGTTTAATTATGTTGCAGTGTTTGATTTATTTATGTAATATACTATAATTAAACTGTATTAAAGAAAGAATATTATTATAATTCATAATGTCCATCCTATCAAAAGATGTTAATAAATATATAATTATATATTTTTTTAAAGATACACAATTGATCCTGATTTCGATAAAGCTCTCAAAATAGTCAACGAATCATTCCTAAAAAAGGATGAATCTAGGCACACCGAAAATACTATAGTAAATTAATATCTTTTTTTAAAAAAAAGATTTATTTAATTATATATCCAAACTCGAATATTTTACATTATAAAATTCCATGCTTTTTTTAAATTGGTATAAATTCATTGAGTCGGAAAATAGTCATATTGATTTTTAGAAAAAGCTTGCTTAAAAGCCATTTCCAAACATCGTTTTTCCCCAAAATGTGAATAAATAAACATAGCTTAAATAATCCGTTTTTGGGAGAATATAAACGATTAAAATATATAAACTAACCCTAACCTATGTGTTCAGATAAAGTTGCCTAGATATTTTATTCTTCTGAAACTAAAATATTAGACGGACGTGGAACCAGAGTTTGAAAAAAAAATTCTTTGAAGATTTTTTGATTTCATCTTGAAGGTTTTTATGCATGAAAATTACAAAAGATTTACTTATTATGAGGAATTTTTTTTTTTAAAAAAAAAAGATTTTGTCATTTATATGTAAAATTTCTTTTCTTCAAAAAAAATCTTAAGACTTTTTCTCAAACTCTGGTGGAACCTATCCCGCCAATGAAATTATATTAATAACTGAAAGTTGCCACTGAGTGGGGGAGGGCTCTATGTGTATGTCATCAGATTGAACTGAAAATCGAACACGACAGTATTGGGTTTGTTGACACACGTCATAACCTCAGTAACTAATCCTCACTATTTTCAAAATTATTTTAAATTTAGAGAGCAGATATTCTTACATGAATACATTTTCGGCAAAATCAGATTCTTGAAATTTTTTTATTAAAAAATATTTATTAACTAAATTATTTTAAGTTGGTAAATAGCCACAATCATTTTTTAAAAATGTATTCTAGTATGTCTAGAATAACTTTCTTATTCATTTCTGGTAATATGACTAGGCATTTTTGAGTTATTATATAATAGCAATATAAATACGCGGATGAACTAAGATATTAATCACGCAACGTATATATCGCGCATGATTACGAATTATAATTGTCTCTGACCAAGAACACTGTTTTATCTAGGGGTAAAATTAACGAAAAATACTCCATATTCCCACATCTTTAAATGCCAATTAGTGATATTGATTTGCTACGGGAAATATTCACAGTCAGTCACGTGATTATCTCACTGACCACAATGTCTAAAAACTATATATTTTTTAATCACATGTGCCCTGAGGTCCAGAACTCGGCTCTTATTTCCTGAAATAGCTATATTTTTTTAAAAATATTTTTTACGAAATCGAAAAGTTAAGTATTCTTTGAGCATTCATTCATTAAATTATAATTTCGATTGGATCATCATTAAGGCGATTACTAGCTCTCGTTACATCAGCATTTCTCATTGACATCTTAATTTTTCTTTTTTTCATCCCTAGTTTCATATTAACATAACGCGACACGCTAATGCTTTCATTTATGAAAATGTCATCAAGATTATAGCCAAAAGTGTCTCCTTCAAAAGATTAATTTACTCTTTTTTTAGAACAAGATGAAGAAGATTATAGTTCGTCAATGGTTCGACCTGATTGGTAGCAAATCTCACGATGAAATGGAGGATGATAATTATTTGGCCATATCAGCTGGTCACGTTGAATTTCACCTGGACCATTTTGAATCCCTGTCTCGAAACCTGCTCACTTTCGTTGTCAACTGCGTTGATGATATGGTATGATATATTTGTTTTTGTTTTTAAATGCCAGGCGAGGACGAGAAATCCTCTGCCTTCGTTTGAGTTAACGAACAAGGAATTTGGTATTATAGGAATCTTTATTTACTAATAGTGCACGTTGATTTTTCATCTGATTTCTCCAGTTTTATATTTTACAATTTGTATAATTATTAGAGTTTTTACGCTATCAATTTCAGACAATCTTGCTGCGACATTTTGTGTTAACTTATTAATTTATTATATTGCAAGAATTTATGAAATAACTCCATTTAAAGCCAAATTGATTTAAAAAATTTACAGTAAAAGGGCAAAATTTATTTATTAAAAATTTTTTTAAAAAAAAACGCTCCATAAAATTGTTTTAATTTTAAAGATTCCTTCATGTCCTAGTGTAATACCGGATCTCTCTATATTTACCCATACTCTACCACGTATTCACTATATTGCGAATTAATTTTTCAATTATAAAAATATTTATTAAAATGTATGATCTGACTGATCTAACATATAATTTAGTGTACAATTCTTTGATTAATTTTTTTTTAAATTAATGCGAATTTTTTTTTTTAATATAACCGAAAATTTACATTTATCGCAGGGTAATACCGCTCTTCATTATTCCATATCTTACGGCAACTTCGATATAGTTAGTACACTGTTGGACTCAAAAGTTTGCGATCTAAACGCCATCAATAATGTAAAACTGCTTTTAAAAAATATTTCGGTCGGGCCTGGATTTTTTTTTAAAATATTTTCTTCGGCCAAACCCGGCTCGTATTTTTTAAAAATATATTATATTTATTTTTAATTTTTATAGCTAATAATGGCAGTTTAAAATATATTGCCCGGGCCGGATATTTAAAAAAAATTTGCTTATATTCAAAAAAATTAAAATACGGGTTAGGCTTAGGGCAGGGCCTGTAGGTCTCTTAAAATTAGAAATGTTCCGCCTATGTCCTAGCTAACAATTTAAAAAATGATTAATTTTTATTAGCACATGGAATATTTTTTAAGAATATAGGTTTAGATTTGGGGAAAAAATATTTGCGAAATAAATTGCACACTATATTTCTCATTTTTTTTGTTAGGACTAGGCTTATATCGTTTATTTAACTTTTTGATTATATGAAGGCTGGCTATACACCTATCATGCTAACAGCTCTGGCTAAATACGAAAAACCCTTTTATCTTGAAGTAGCAAAACGACTTTATCAAATAGGGGACTTGAACATTAAAGCCAAACAGGTTAGCTTGTATTATTTATATACCAAATTACTTCTTATATAGATTTATAATTATATATTTTTGAAATATCTGATATTTTAATAAAAAAACCTATCAAAGAACGGCCAAACTGCTTTAATGCTAGCGGCCAGTCACGATCGTAAAGACGTGTGCCGGAATTTTCTGGAATGCGGGGCCGATCCTAATATAAAAGACAGCGATGGTAGCACTGCACTCATGTGCGCGGCTGAGCATGGTCACGCGGAAGTGGCCAAGATTTTACTATCTCATCCCGAGATTGATACCGATATCGCAGATAATGTAAGCAAGACTATATAAAATTAGTAGAACCGGAACAAATCTAGGAGCTAGAACCTGTTACCCTTTTATAATTTATGGGAACCAGAAGCCTTTTTAAATTTACAGGATTTTGTAATTGGTTCTAGTAACCTGCTCAAAGTTTAAAAAAACCAAAACCCATATTTGAAACTAGGACACTATATTTATCTAGGTTCCAAATTTATAATCAACTCTGAATGGAAATCAGGATATTTAAAATAGGAATTGATTGGTTGTTAATTTAACTGTCGATTTTTTAAAAAATGTCTTTACGAGTAGGGATCTCTTATTTTGTTTGGTGGGTTATTCGATTAGGTTAGAAGGTGAAATTTTTTTTAAAGGCTAAGCGAGAAAATAATTAATAATCGGTTGAAATTTGCTGATAAAATGTTGGTATAAATTTTTTTAATGCTCATCTTTAAAACAAAAAATACCATTTCCAATTGATACAGGACGGTAGCACAGCTCTCGCCATAGCAGTTAAAGCCGGTCATAAAGATATTGGAATTCTCATATACGCTCACCAAAATTTGGTCAAGGTAAGACACATGGGAGGTTCGGACAACTCTAAACTCACGAATACACAGTCAAGCATCATCAGGAAATATAGCAATACTTATGTTTAAAAATCTCTTCAGCTATTTGTAAACAGCATATATTCGCTAAAACTATTTTATATTATTTATTTAAAAATAAGATAAAACATTCCTGCCTAAATTATATAAGAATAAATTTGTTTTAATCAGATTATTTTTTCTCCACACTAGAACCTTATAATGTAAATAAAAATTATGGCACCATTCAAATGTAATTTATTTATTCAAAATCGTTTATAAATTGTGAAATTACCCGTTTTTACTATATTTAATGATTGTAATTTATTTTTATAAATATATTTTGAAATTGACTCATGGATTTAATTTAACAAATCTATTCATTTGATATCATATAAAAAAACATTTGTTTTATTAAATAAAAAATATATAAGAAAATTTTATAATTTAGCATCATTTTTGAGACCTTAAAAACAAATAAATATTTATATAATATTTTCTTCGTTTAATAATTTTTTTCTAGGTTTAATCGGGTGGGACATCTTCCCTATACACTTTATCTATTTTCCGCATTAAAATAATTTTATGCAGATATTGTTTACCTTCTAATTAATAAAAATTTTGTAGACCAAAAATATTTCTAACATTATTTTAATTAAAGTGAATACAAATTTGTAATATTTATAAAATGTTCCATAATAGGATAAATATTTTACTCAATTTACTGGAATACATTTTCTATAAGATTAGATCTTCAAATTTAAAGAACTATGCTATTTATCACTTAATAATTTTTAACTCGTTTCGGGCATATTCATAACTTTTTGCTTCTTCTTTCAAAATATTCTTAGAACTTCGAGTCAAAATTTATAACTTTGGTTCAAAACTTTTCAGGTATTAGTAATATTTATTTATATTTTTAGATATTAGCCTTACTGTTTGACCCTAGTTGTAGTACGACCAGGCGCGTACGAAAGAATTTGGTCTGGGGGGGGGGATAATAAATTTTTTAAGAAATATTATTGTTTTTAAAAATATCATAAATTTATTAGAACTAAAACTATTTCTAATACACAATTTTAAATTAATGTGAATTATAAAAAAATTATAGGTATAAACCGTCATATAAAAAACTATAAAATAAATGTGAATTAAAAAATATCAAACGGATATAACTGGAGGTATAGAAAAATTATAAAATAAATGTGAATTTTAAAATAAAAAGTGAATATAACCACTATATAAATCACTTAAATGACCCAAAATAGAAATTTGAATTTTTTTAGCCTTTGAAATTTATATACATAAAAAATGTAATTGTTGTAAATATAAATTAATACACAAAAAGTTTCTTAGGAATAATTGTATTTTGTATGTTATATATTTACATGTAAAATCCAATCTTCGTTGGGATTGAGCTAATTTTTCAATTATCTCTTCCTTGCTTGTCAAATGTCTATGAATATTCAAAAGATCCAAACCTTTCAATCATTTTCAGAAGTTGTACTTCTTGGTATGTTTTTCAGAGACCTGCAGGCCCGGCCCCAGGGCCGGACCGTATTTTAATTTTTTAAATATACACGGGCCGGGCCCAAATTTTTTTTAAAAAAACGCTTGGGCGAGGCCTGAAAATTTTTTTAAATATCCAGGCCGGGTTGTATATTTTAAAATAGCCTATATTTGAAATCGTTATTAGCTATAAAAATCAAAAAGAAATATAGTTTACATTAAAAAAAGCCGGGGAGGGCCTGAAAGTTTTTTTAAAAAAACCCGAACCGGGCTGTAAAAAATTTAAAAAAAAATCCGGGCCGTGTCCTGCAAATGGTACCACTGCAGGGCTCTGTTATTCTTCTTAAAAAAGAATGTTCTCTCATTAATTTACTTATGGGACGAGTTGCTAATATATATAAACCCTTTTAAAACATTTGGAATATAATTTAAATGTGTTTGAAATGCAAAGCATCCATAGCATTTTTTGGGACTATATCAACCATAGTTAATTTTATAAACATAGTTATTCAGCTAATAAGGCATCATAAGATACTTTAACATCTTAATGATAAAAATCTAACAAATATTTTTTTTTCTATCACCATCTGAAAAAGGTTGGTAAGTCTTTTGTGGAAGTAATATCTGCAGATTAGTAAGTACTGCATATGAATTAAAAACCATTCATATTTGGGTTATAAATGTATCTAAGAGAGGAGACATTTGTTTTATAATACTCTTCGACTGATCTTATATTAATATTTTAACGATGAGCTTGCCTTGCTGCAAGTTGAAGGAGTCAAATATTAAACACGTATAGCTCTGCTTTTGACTCAACAATAACATATATGTAGTAATAAAAAATTTGGGGAACAAATTAAATAGGGTAAAATTTGATGATAATAGTGAAGGTGTAAGGCACAGGGATCAATTACGGAAGAGAGTGCATAGAAATGGTTGAAAGATGAAATTGTAAAAAAGGAAAATATTTATGGAAAGTTCCTGATTAATAAAGACGTAGATTTTAATGGTGTAAATAATCGTGTAAAGCAATTACTGTTCATGAAAAGAGTTTTGTAATCAAGAAGCAACCATTGCCCATGAACATCGTATGTCCAACGTAAAAGAGGAACGGCACCATGTTATGATGACAACAAATTAATGACGGATACTACGAAAATCGACTAAAAGAAAGGAGGATGGTAACGTTAGAATCGACCCTCTAAAAACAATACTGAGATGATTATCAAGATCTGATTGAGTGTATGAGATAAAGAAGAAATACAGACATAAAAACAATGTTTAAAAAAAATATGTGAATCATTTATTGAATGTTTATACGCTGATTAATTTATTTTGCATAGTGATATAAAAATGTATATATAATTTTGCCCAGGATTTTTGTTAAGGAGGCGTGTTATAGTATTATGTTTTTTATTATGTTAGTAGATTATTATTACAATAATGTCAAGGTTATATTGTATTTTTATATGAAAAAGAGATAATGTCAAGGATGTAATTTATTTTTTTATATGAAAAAGAGGAAAACTAGATCATTTATTTTTGAATATATTGTTTTTTAGTTAATTTTTTCGCATAATTAGATTGATTTTGTTTCATTGTGTATTTTTAGAATAATAATTTTTAATATAAAATAATTGTGTTTTATTTTTTCAAGAAATAAAAAAATAAGAGTAAAATTTACAAGTGTTTTATCTTTTAATAATAGTAAAGAAATCTACAAAAATATAAAATATGAAATTCTTCATCAACATTAGCTCTAATTTCCTTAAGTTCTAATAAAATGCTCTCCGCTATTCTCATCTTCTTAATCAAATCATTGTCATGTTTTTGAAAAGTATTACATATAGTTGTATAATTAAATAATACATTCTAATGAGAAAAAAAATTTGGAATAATAATTGAATCCAATAATTTTCTTGCTTCTGAGGAAATATTTCTTTCAGGCCATTGTGATATTTCAGTAATAGCAAATAATCGGCTCTTCTAACTCCATAAAAGCTGTTACTACTTGATGGCGAAGATTCTATCTCGTTGGACAAGCTTGCAATTTCTTTCTCCCTGTTGGACAAGGAGTTTCAGAAATAATTATTATTTGACTAGAAATTTAATGGTAGATAAATATTATGCCACTAAAAATTTGAAAATAATAAGTAAATATCACGCCGGAAAACTTGAAATCGAAATTAATTGATAAAATAACTTAGTAGATGAATGTGATAAATAAATGTAATTAAATATTTAATATGAGATAGGAATAAATATTAACAAATATAAATTAATATAAACAATAATATTTTGGAAAATAATATCCGGAATCTGCATTTTTTGGCTTTGGGGGGTGGGGGGGGGTGGGGGGTGGGGAGGGGGGTATTTATCCTACTGCCCCCCTTCCCGCTGCGTACGCTCCTAAGTACGACAGAATCAGATTGAACCTTTTATCCAGACCTAAGAAAATTTATGCAAATAATTCCATCACTTAATCAATTATCTAGTATATCCACTTCATAATTCACCAAACATCCTAATTTTTCCTCAAAATCTTAATATTTAACCATTAAATTCATCACCGTATTCATAACCTTAATTATAATTGTATACTTATCGCCTTTATTATTTTGGTCTTCAAAATAATCTTTATATGCTTTTTATTTTTTGGTAAGTCACTGAAACTCTGGAAAATTTTGAATATTTTTTTATTTAAAAGTAATAAATATGCCATCGTGTGGAAATTTTTTTGATGTAATAATAATTCAAAATTCATTACTAAAAATTTTAAGAATTTTATATTTATTTCTTATGAAAATTTTAACAATTCTTTAATTTTATATTAAAAATGGAAAAGATATATATAAATGACAGAAAGATTTTCTTCCAGTTCTGGGAATGCTTGTCTTAAGATTCCTCCGTAAACGCTCAATACGTTGAGTATGGGTCGATATATCATTTGGATCTATAAGGTTTCTGCTCTGATTGACCGAGTAATGATCATATCCATTTTCATTAAGATTTTTATAACTTAAAAAATATAAAATTTTAAGATTTTCAAGATCATTTATTAATTTTTAATAAAAAAAAATATTTAAAAAAAATAATATTAAAAATTTCCCCGTTCAGTGATAAACCCATTTTTTATAATAGATTATAGTTATGTTTAATTAAATAAAGAAGCGTCTACGAAAATTTTTTTTTAGAGTATCTTCTGAAAAATAAATTAAAAAAATTTGTGAAAATCAAAATTTTTACTTAGCAAAATCATTTAAAATTTTGAGAAAAAATTTCAGAAAATAAGTATAAATTCTTAAATTTATGGCCGTGTCCTCCTAAGACGCCTTATTAAAAAACCATACTTAAGTTTGTTCTAAGTGCGTAGATTTCATTAAATAATGTTATGTAAATATTTTTTTCTCCGAATCGAACGTTACACAAATATAATTAGCCAATTTCTTTTATGCTGTTTAAAGGAGTCTGCTATATAGATATTTAAACAGACTCTCTATAGAAATAAGAAACCCAAAACATAGCTTAGATATTCTTAATTCTGAGGAATTATGGAAAAAATCTGAGTGTTTCAGTACTATTCTGAGCGAAATATAATACAAGTTATAAGTTAAGCCTTTTTATCTGGGAAACTGAAGAACTTTGAGATCGGGTCATGATATTTTATTAATAAAAATTCCAAAATTATTATTAAACATAAAAGTGTGTAAAGATTTTCAAAATTATTTTACAGAAAAAAAATAAAGTATCTCTTAACAATAAAAAATTCGTCCCTTTTATAGGGAAAAAAAAGGCGCAATAATAAATTAAAATTAAATTGGCGCAAAGTGAAAAAAAAGAACGTTTTTGTGGAAACGAGTTGTGTTAGTTTTATCGTACATAATTGGGGATAAAACCTACCCCCCTAAACTCAAAAATATACCTTGGGATGCAGGGTAGTCTCCCGAACCCAACGGTCTAACTCATATTTTCGGATCACCTTACTGAGGACTCCTAAAGTAAGAAGTCCAGTAAAGTGAGAGAAAACACAAAAGCCATGTGTTTATTTTCACTGTGTTTAACTTAAAACAAAAGAAGGACCAAAAAGAGAAACCTTTTTTTAACTTTCATTTTATTGTAAACAAAGGAGGGGTACTAAAAAAACTTTATTTAACTTTAACTTAAACAAAAGAAGGGGATTAAAAAAAACTTTTACAGATACAATAAGGAAATTATACTTTAATTGTTTAATTTAATTGTTTAATTTAATTTAAATATCTAAGATTATAAATTAGGGTAGGGTTAAAATTGTATTAAAGAAAAGATCTGGTTAAAATTAAAAAGCTAGAGAGTTTTGGTAGATATATAGGTTGGTATTAATTTCTATAAATGGATCGTTTAATAACATATATCATGTTATATTACGGAACGAAGGCTAGTTTAAGAATCTTCAAACTATCTTTCCTGATCTAGTAATAAATTTTGATAATAATTTTTGTATATGGAAATATTACTATTTTTTATTCTATATAATTTATGTCAATATTTGACAGCAGTCATCTATTTTTTTTTGTGGTATTAAGTTCGAATTGGTCAAAAATGTTAGAAGAAGATGTTAATACGCTTATAAATGAATAATCATTTTATATTCAGGTACAAAATACAAATTCTATCCAAGTGTATTCAAAACTATTTGTTCAATATCTACTAAGCGACGATTTGTTTATTTTTATTACGTTTAATTAATTTGTTTAGATTTAATGCTAGGTTACTAATTAAAAGATTACCAAATGATATCAAATCAGTAAACATTAACTATCAAATTATATTGTTACTCTAATTAAGAATAAAGATCTTCAGCAATTGACCTTAATAAGTAATAAATTATGGAACCAAGACTATGACAATGTATTAAGACTGTATGAACACAATTGGCAAATGATTGCAGATGATGTAGATTTATTAAGGAGTATAAATGATGTGAAAAATTGTTTTTAATAACTATACTTAAAGATCATACTCAATCTATCATATTGGATATTTTAACTAAATGTTACTTTAACATGAAAATTCAAACTTTGACACAACTATTGAATCAAAGTAATGATGAAGTGCTAAAATGTATATAGGAATATTTATTCTATCTTGTGTAATATTATTTTAGTAATCAAGAGAGAAAATTGGCATTATAACCCTAAACTTGGAATTGTTTATATTAATGAAAGAATACCAAGTTAATTTATATAACTAATATTTTAAAAACATTTTTATTTCATAGAATCTTTACCAATGATGAAGCTCGATGACAGCAATTTGAAAAATTTAATTAATTCTATCTCATTTTTTGAAAATTAAAATTCACAATATTTTATTATAACAATAAATTTTTAACACCTTTTGAATATTTAAATAATGTTGACTGGAATTTGATAAGGATAGGTCTAGGTCAAGAAACAAATTTAATTTATTTGATGAATATGAATAATTTAGTAAGTTTCAAATATTTGTTTTGAAATAATTAATATATGCATTTTGTGTAACTTATTGCCCTTTTATAATAATTTTTTTTTATAGAGAGATCTGCAGAAGTACCATTCGTATGGCCCAGCCCAAATTTGTTTCAAAAAATTATTTTCCAGCTTTGTTTTTATATTTTCAGGTCCTGCCCTGGTTTAAAAAAAATATTTTCATGCTTGCCCCGGACTTTTAAAAAATATTTTATATTAATTTAAAATATAAAACATGCCCAGGTATTTTTATTTAAAAAAAATTCCCATGTACAATGGTTTAGGGCCAGGCCTGCAGATCTGATATATACAAAATCATGGATATTAAAATAAACATTAAAGAAAATTTAAAAAAAACTTTGAATATAAAAATAAATAATTCTTCAATTCATGTCAGGCATTAAACCATGAAAAGATATCAGGTTAGATTTACATATTGTTATAAATATTTGATGATAAAAGCATTTGTAGGATATCCCAGTTTTTGATGTGATATTATGACCTAGTAGCTTCAGGATCAAAATTCTTTAAATCGTTATGAAAGGAATTGATTAAAAAAAAGTATTTATTGAATTTCCTATTTCAGTTTGGATGATGGAATCTGGAAATAATTGCTTGATGAAAAAGTGTATAATGGCTAGCTGCCTCCTTAACTCACACAGCCGGTTGAAATTTGTCCCACCTAAAAAAGGACCTTTAATACTTGGTGGAACATATTTAACCTGACATGATTTTTTTATTTTATTTAATACACAGATGTTATAAATTTATCATATTTAAAAAATGATATTATTTATATTTATTTAAATATTTTCGCGCCCAAAAAGTTTCGTATTTTATCAATTCCGCCTTTTTTATGCAAAATATTTTTTATAAAATTTTTAAATCTACTTTAGCAAAATTCTTGTACATTTGATAAATAAAAAATAGAAACATTTATATATTCTATATATTTATCATAAATATCAATATTTTTAAAATTGATCATTTATTTTTTGGCAGTTACAAAAAATGTACCCGGTCATTTTAAGTCCCACTGTGCAATAATGCTTATTTTACATTTATATAAAAAAATTTCTTGTCTGATATAGTTCAACTGATTCGGATTCTTCTTTTGAAATATACTCAAAGGAAGTCGAGGACAACCTAATAAATTAAATTGGAGGGTGATTATATAAGAGGTCTCTATTTCGATTAAAAATTAACTAAAATCTGCTATCTCAAAAGATTCTTGACTCGGGTGTATCATCCTTGCGCAATCCAATATCGACTCCTTAAAAATATAAAAATATGTCGCTGATGATACAAGGAAAAAGTGATCGGATCATATTTCTATAAAAATTCTTGCTAGTGATTCGGAATCCCTTGGGAAAATATATTAGGACATTCTGGGAATGTTCTATTTGTAAAGTTTCGCTATGTATTAACGCTAAAAGAAATTGATTTTTCTTTTCATAACAAAAAATAATGTATATAATACACAGTGGGAAAAATATGTCCCTCCCCCAGTTATAAATTATTTTGTAATTATTGTATTTTATATTATAAAATTTCAATAAATATCAAAAAATAACATTTTAAACAATCTCAGTGATTATTTTATTTAAGTTTTTATACGTGAGCAATAGAAATTTTTTTTAAATATTGAAATGTAGCAATAAAGGGTTAAATGGAGTGACTGTTATGTCAACTGTTTCACTGTATCCTGATTAGAGGCCAGATGTGATATGGTAGTAGATAATAACCTAATTTATAAAAAAATGCCTAATAAAGTATTAGCTGCACACAGTGTCGACATGAGCGGTGGGGTAGGTACAATTTGAATCCAAATTTTTTGAGAGGGGTAGGGGGTAGGCAATTAAAGGGGGTGCATCATTTTGATAGTTGTTAGTAGAGCATTCATAATTTAATCTTTTTAAAATTTATTAAGGGACTAATAATATAATTTAAAAGTATAATTAATAATGTAGAAATATCGGCGCAGAAGGAGGCAGTTTTGTTAGGGGGGGGGGGGTAGGTATTGAATTTTGAAGGGATCCAGTGAATATCCTGTCATGTAGACTCTGGCTGCTATTGGATATAGATAATCTTCCCCTTGCTAAATTTGCAGTAGAGAGGAATCAGCCATTCTACTTCATTGCTTGTTTACACAAATTATAAGGGACAGGAATAACAATAGGAAATGCTAAATATTAGTCTGTAAACTTCTAAAAAAATCGAACGCGTTCAACGTTCATTGACAAAAATCGAACGCGTTCAAGTTCATGTTCAAAAAAAAGGAACGCGTTCACGTTCATCAAACCGTTCAAAATTTTATGATAAATTTTTTAAAAATTTAATTTAAATAAATAAACTTATATTTTTTAATACATTATATTTTAGCCATGTTAAAAAATAATATAGTTTTATTTTGATAATATAATTATAAATAAAATATAATAATATAATTTTTTTTTTTCTCTTTAGCTTTCACCTTTTCTGGTGATAAGCTCCTTCAACATCTCTCTCCACTTTATGTTATTGATACAATCTCTTTTATCTATTTTATACTTTTTATATTGGCTCTAACTTTATGGCCCCATTGAAGTTTTGGCCTTCCTCTTTTACGTTTGCCCATCACTTCCAAACTTTCAACTTTATTTCCTATGTAGTTCATAGGCCTTCTCATTGTGTGCCCATACCACCTAAGTCTGTTTACCATTAACTCTTAATGGGCACTACCTTTAAACTATTTAGTATTCTTGTACTGCGCACCTTATCCTTTCTTGTTACCCCAGCAATCATCCTCAGCATTCTCATCTCCATAGTTTGTAGACTTTTCTCGTCTGATTCTTTGGTTGGCCATGTTTCCGAACTATATAGAATAGTTGGTTGTACTATGGAACTGTAAATTTTTCCCTTTAATTTGTGTGGGATTTTTTTGTCAAATAGCACTCCAGATAAAGATCTCCACTTTAACCACTCTTGATTAATCTTACTCTTTATCTCTTTTTCTATTGTGCCGTTTGTTTGTATAGTGGAGCCCAAATATTTGCAGCTTTCAATTGCGGATATCTGCCAATTATTTAAAAATATAATAATATAGCGCATAAAAAGATGTTTTTATTTATAAAAAACTTTTATTATTAAATTTTAATAACAATTGTTTTCAAAATATTTATAACACTTGGCAGTTAATACGGCATTAGCCTAAAAACACGCTCTACAGGAGCAGGAGAGGATTGCGATATTATACTTAATAAACAGCTCTTTTAATGTGGAGAATTAATTAAAAACATATAGTTTTGTTATTTGCAAAAAATTGAGATTACTCTCGACAAAAAAAAGGATATATCGAAATTAACAGTTCTCTAGGGTTTTTAAAGCATTTTTTCAATGACGCTACAAGCTTATTTTTAATATGTTCGTTCTGTGGAAGTTTTATTCATGGCCATTGAAGTTTGAATGCTGGATGTATAATTGCAGAAAAAACATATTGATCCTTATATATATGTTCATTTAAAAAAATAAAATATGTGTAATAATTGAGAGTGATAGGTTTAATACCTTTTATTAATCCCATTTAATACGGCGTCTATCAATGGTTGACCATATTTGAGGCCATTAATTTTTTTAATTTTAAGATAACTATCGCTATTGTTGGGGTCAAATATCCCAAATGCATTATTTCTTCAAATATAATGATTTAACTTAGTTATATCATATAAAATCAAATAATTAATATTAAAATAAATGTCGTTTTAAATTGGAACCTGAAGATTTTGACAATATAATACTTTTTGGCAACATTTTACACTTGGTAAGCATTGGATTAGTTCCTTCAATATAGGATGTTAATGTAAAACATTTATCATATTTGGACATAGTAATGATGATTCATCTGATTTTGGATTTTCAGAATCAGATGATGAGGATTAAATAATAATATCCATGCTTATACTAATTTATTAAATTAAAATATAAACAATAATATTCAAATTAATAAGCTATGTGTTAAAAAAATTGAAATGTGAAAAGGAAATACACAGCCTATTAAAAAATATAAATAATACATTTTTAAAAAAAATTCGGAATATTAAATTTTTCAAATAAATAAAAAAAAATATATTTTTAAAATTGAATGAACGTTAAATTCGAACACGTTCGTCATAAAAAAGGAACGCGTTCACGTTCAAAGTTCGTCAAATATAAAAGGAACGCCGTTCTTCATTTTTTTCAAAAAAACGAAATTCGTTCGTTTACAACACTACTAAATATAAACCTACTGCTTCTTAGTGAGAGCACCCCCCCCCCCCGCTCTTTCACCCCACAAAAGGTTTCATTAAATGAGGTATATATGGATTATTATCAGATTTGAAAAAAAATTTAATATTGGAATTATTATTAATTCTAATTGCATTACATTTTTAAAATATTTATTGCAGCAAGTTAGCCATAAGAGTAGTTATCCTAGCATTATGTTTTTTTTCCATAAAACTGTAATTACAGTTGGGAATGACATTGTTGAATTTTAATAGGCACTTAACTCCCTATTTGGTAACTAATCTCGGTGTAAGACTTGATGCCAGGTTCATAGACTGCGGTTATAATTAGTTTAGAGCTATTCTATAAAAACAAACTACCGTTTATGTTAGATTATGAGAAATACTGTATTTTATTAACACCAAATCCATTCCTTTTGATAAAATCTAAAAGTCTCATACAGCTGTACAGGGCGGAGCAATCAATAAGTAACTTAAATTTTATAATTACGCGGTTCAGGTTAAGTCCTAATATAGGGTGAACTGCGTTTGTGATTAGCAATATGAATGGAGTACCATTATAATAATAAACACCTAATTAATAATCTGAGTTGGTTTTCAAGGGGAAAGGGCCTTATCTCCAGTAAATACTCCGTTATGTAAACACTGCTTGCAATACTAGATACCTTTACAAAAAAGGCTTTTGAGGGAGAAGTTATTTAATAGCCAACTACCATTGTTCATTGAAGGAACACACAATATAAGAATGATCCTGAAAAGTTGGATATTCTCAAACTATATAAATTTTTATTGTTGTAGATACAAAGAAATATTAATTATTAAATAAATATTTTTATCTACATTTCATATCCTTTTTTAAACCTTAAAATGAAATATTTAGTTGAATATTTTAGTTATTATAAATTTACCATAATTTGACAATTATGCTAGTTTCAATTAAGGAAAAATTAAATTTTTTTAGTAGATTTATTCCTATTCGTAAATAATATTATATTTCAACATTTATTTTCAAAATGTATACTTATTTTTGAGATGCCGTATAATTTTCGTGATAAAACTTTCGCTTAATATTCTTTGTCAAAAATCGTGTTTCAAATTTGAATTTTTATATTTCTGAATGAATCTTTGTTCTGGAATTAAAAAAATTAATGGATGGAAAATCGTTATCAGATTATTTTGATTTGTATAAAGAAACTGCTGTTCGTATATTTACAAAAGGTTTGGTAAATATGAATATGGATGATAAATTAATGAATGACATAATGGCTGAATTTGAGAAAGTATGTGAAATATTAATCTTTATTTTTAATATATAATTTATAAGTTGTTCACTAGAAATCTTCATTATGAATATGACAAAATTGGGCATAATATGGATGCTAAACTTTCAAATGGTACCTGTATATATCATTGATAAAAAATTAATTTTTAATATAGATTCTCATTTATCAATAAAGATTGAATTTGAAAGATCTAAAGTAGAATTAAGTAAAATGTTAAACAAGATTCATAATCAAAGGAATATGGTGTCAAAGTTATGTCCAGAATATAAACAAAAAGAATTAAAATATGCTTCTGAATCAGTAACTAATGTATTTATTTACATCTTTTAAAATATTTTAATCCAGATACATAATATGTCTCTTAATACTCCTGAATTTGAAGACACTTATAGAGATGATGAATTTTTTAATAGTTTGAATACAGAATTTTTATAAAATACAACCTCCCCCCCCCCACCATACAATTAATTTCATAAATTTATTTTAAAAGTGTGTTGTATATGAATAATTATATCTTTACCAACATGAAATATAAAAATAAATTTCTTATTTTTTTAAACTAAATTTTTAGTAATCAAATTTTAAAGATAATTATTGATTATTGTATATTATTTATAAGTATTTTTTATTTTTTTCAGAAATAAGTAAAGAATTAATTCCCTTTTAATAGAAACATTTTATTAACATTGCTAGGCATCTTTTATAATCATATTTTAAGATATTTAATATAGTGTTGTTAAATAATTGACTATAAAATAAACTCAAGCCAAAGTTGTAAAAAATGCCCCAGACTTGAGTAGCACAATTAGATGACTCATGAACCAGGCTCTTTAGTTGATGGTGAGACTACTTCCAACCCAATTTTCTCAAAGAATAAAAATATACTCTTGTATTTATTTTTAAAAAAATTATTTTTTCCAGATATAAAATATGTGATATCTCATATTTAGTAATTTATTTTTTATATGTGAATTATATTGATATCATTTTTTTAATATTTATTTTTAGCATGTATTTTGCTTTGTAATAAATATTTTAATATTATTATTAAAAATATTTTTTTAAGGTGGGTTTTTTTCAGAGATTTGCAGAGGTTCCATTTGCGCGATATAGTCCAAATTTTTTGACCATACCCAAATTTTTTTGACATGGCCTTGGTTTTATAAAATATATTATATTTTTTAGTTTTAAGAGCTAATTATGGTGATTTAAAATATTTGGATTTAAAATATATAATTCAGCACAGGTTTAAATAAAATTTGTAGACCTGGATTAGGTATATTTAAAAAAATTAAAATATGGTCTTGTCTGTTTACAATTAGAGCTGGGCCTGTAGGTCTAGTTTTTTATCATTTTTTTTAAAATAAATTTTTCAATATTTATTTTATTGTAATATATTTTTATTTTTCTTATTATATTGTAATATATTTTTAAGGTGGTATTTATAAGAATATATTTTACATAGGCTATACCATTAACAAAAATTCCTAAATTCACTTCCAATTATCTATTTCAAAAATGAATAATGGCTTATTATGCTGATAATTGTCAACCACTTGATTTGATTTTTGTAACTTATAAATTTTATCATTTCTTTTCCAAAGAATTTTATAAAATATGATGCAATTTGATAACTTTAACTTTATGACAATTAATTTATATAATTTCAAATTTATTATTTTAAATCTTTTTAAAATATAATCAAACTTTAAGATTATTAATTTATATCATTTCAAATTTATTATGTAAAATTTCATCGATTTTAAAAAAAATCAATATATTCTTAAGAGTCCACTTATATAGGCTTTAAATAGTATATCAATTAAAAGTCTTTCAACATCAAATTCCTAATAAGATAAAAATCCTCACTTCAGTGATAATTTAAAAAAATCGTAACTAATTCCTTAACATTGTCAGGAATTCTGTCTGGGAAACGTTAAAATAAAAATTAAATAAAATTCCTGACAGTTACAATTTAACTTAAGGAACATTTTATACAAAAAATTTTATAAAATTAGTGTATTTATCTTAAAACAAATTGTATCAACAAAAAAATATATATTTTTTGAATGAAACAACAAATAACAAACTCGAGCAGAATTTTAAGTGAGATTTACTCTAAGAATTTTATTTTAACTTAAATACCTTTAAATAATTTTTTTTACTATTTTTATTTTGAATTAATTTGAGTTTTTTTTAGCAGAATTCAAAATAGATTACACATATCTACATTTTAAAAAATTAATCGACTTTTTATAAATAATTCATGTTTTATAAAATGTTTAATAATATATTGAAATAAATCTTCAATATTTTTAATATCTTTGACATTTTATTTTAAATCTGTTAGTTATAATTAGTGTTGTATAATAATGACGTTACTACCGGCGTTACCTATTTTGAAAAAAGTAACGCCATTTACATTCTTCTCAAGGTAACGGTAACGCGTTTCTTGTTTTAGTAACGATAAAGCAAAAGTTACTAGTTACTTCGAATTTTTCTTAAAAAATAGGAAAAAACATTATAATAAAATTACTTTTATTTATTTTGTAAATTTAGGCCGAGTTTTTAATTTACATCAACCACCAAATTCCTTCATTTTCATTTTGTTGAAAATGAATAAAGTCTATCCTGGCTCCAATATGATACATTTTTTACACCAATAGAGAAAACTAAGGGTACAAAAGTGTAAATTGTGTCTCAACTCAAATATTTTAACCTAACATTTAAATGCCCATTACAGTCAAGATTATTTCTATATTTGTTTTATAACAATTGTATATTAATTCTAAACATTTTAATTAAAAATCAAACTTTGGCCAGAGTGCTATTTGAAAACTTTATAGAGCAGGTAAAAAAATGGTTTGGGCAAACGATTATGACTCCTGGTTGGTAGTATATTTATATAAAAATAAGCTTAAACGACATGATTTCTTGATTTATTTTTAAATAATTTTTTTTATAGATAAAATTGATTGGTTTTCAATCATACATAGGATTTATAATTTTTCTATAAATAATTTTAAAAAAATTAGGCACCAATGAAAATAACTTTTTCATGAAATTGATTCTAAAAATACATTATTGTTAGGAAAAATAATAATTACTATCTTTAAAAACAATTATTTTTCTTCCTTTAAATCCCATTTACAAATAATAGATATTCAGAAGATAAAAAACAAATGTAAACTATCCTCCAATCATCAAAATTATGAAAACTATTTTATTATGCTCTATTGAAATGATCGGGAACGCTATAAACGGGAAGTAAAGCGGGTTCTTTATTTCTAGTCCGTAGACTATTTTCTCCATCAGCATTGATCGCTTCCGCCTTAAATTCATTTTCTGCTTCCTCACCAACATCCAAAAGTGAACTCCTACTGGAATAGCTCTGGTTGTCGTTGCTATCCATCATGTAACTATCAGAAATAGATTTAAATATATAAATTTAGTATAAAAAGAGGATAATAGAAGAGAATTCATTCTTTCTTTAATTGCTACCCTACGAGCTGTTATTTTTTAACTTTTAATTTTCGTTAGATCCAATCTTAGTTTAGTTTTGATTGAACTATCCAACAAAAAACCACGAGACAGTTACAAAAATAGATTAAAAGCAAACAAATGGTAAAAAGTACTTCTTAGAGTTAACACCTAAATTTTCCTTCTATGATCTTTTAATGAAATAAACGAAGTCTTTATAACTCATAGTAGTAAATTTTCTACCTATAAATAAAAAAGAAATTTGCTTAATCCAAGCATTTGATTTGATAACTTCAAGCGGATCTGAACAAATATAACTTTTCCAAAAAATTTTCTAACAAATACACATAATATAGGTTAAAAGTTAAGTAGTACTGGTTAGAGAATAGAATAAAGAAAATCAATATTTAAAAAAAAATTCATATTCAATAGCCTACCCGGGTCTGCCGAGAGATTCCTTGTAAATTTCTTTTGACCTTAAAGTCGAAGCCTCCACAGCAGCTATAAGGGCAGCTCTCAATCCCATTTTTTCGAGCACAAAAACACTCCTAGCAGTGCAACCTCCGGGAGAACATACGTCACCCTTTAAAGAACCCATACTTCCGTTTTCGTAGTTACCTAACAAGTGACATTTGATTAGATGTTAATATTAAGTTATAAATATCATATGGTAATTAAAGATCTGCAATATCCGGCCAATGGGCCTGGTAACGACTAAATTTTTTATTTGGGCCGGACCAGGTAAAAATAAGCAACGGAACTGACCTAGCGTGCAAAAAGAATAGATATCCGGTGTGTTTAATAGAGAATAAAAAAAAAATTATTATTCCAAAGCCTAATTTTGTTAAAATAATATTTTCCTTTTTTTATTTTGCTTATAATTTTAATGATTTAAATGGCCCATTACTATGATCATTCATTCATAAATACATTTATTTTTCTTTATCCTATATTTTGCATATTGCCAAAAAAAAAATCGCAAAACCTAAATCCTCATCATCATATCATATTTTTCCATATGATATACTAGATAAATTGGAAGCACACCGGGTACGTACAAATTTATACGGCCCGGACTGGGCAAAAACTAAATTCGAACATGATCGGGCTTGAAAATTTTTCCATTTGCAACCTTTATTGATGATGATGTGGGGATGGAAAAAAATCGAGTTTTGAACCGGAAAAGGGACAAATCTGGGAACAGAAAACAGACTATAAAAATTTATAATAACTGGAGATAGAACTCTCTAAAATTTCCAAGAACCCAAACCAGTTCATGACAAATATATAAGTATACCAAAATTTTGTGTTATTCATTTTACAGGATTTATTTTCATTCATGTTTTTTTTTTGATAGAGTTGAAAATATTTTAAATAATAATCTTATTTTAAGATATCGGTTCTGGGCCGATATTTACCATATAAAAACCGATTCATTGTTATGACAGCTTTTGGTTATTTTATGACATATAGGTCAGGTCTTATTGGGATTTTGAAAATCTCAATTTTAAATAATTTACTGTGAATGATATTTAAATCTGAAAAAATATTATTCGATAAGAAAATGCATTCCAACATTTATAGAATTAGGCTTGTTAAACGATTCATCCAATTTGCGCAAGTCTCGAAATTTAGTTGATAGTTCTTCAAACCTTTAACCCCTCTATGAGCTAAATTTCAAGGCTTGTGTAATATTTTTGAATAAAAAATTAACAACACTATAACAGAGTATCCACAATGTGAATTTAAAACAATTCTGCCCAAAACTGTTAAAATACACAAAAGTATATGGCGAAAATTGTTCGAATTTTTATGGAGTAGGTAGTTTAGATATGCAAGAATACATTTCTGGTAAAATTAGATTTTTTTCAAATTTAATATCGCTCTCAGTAAAATGAAATAAATTTGTGAGATTCCATATCCCAATCAATGATGTATGTATATATATATTAATAGATTGGTCATAAATTGGACTGCAGCGACATTCTGTTATCTGTATGTCGATTAATTGTCTCATTTATCATTTTATGAATGCACATTAATGTCAATTAATCAACGCGCAAATACAAAATGGTGCTATAGCTGACTCCTATGTATGGTCATTTTTAAATGCATTTAATGAATGAATCGCCAATCTAGTAGTATATATACACTAGAGGTCTGCACGGGTTGTCCGTATCCAAACCAAAGCTCGGACATAAAAGACTTTATTTTAGGCTCGGGTTAGGATTATAAGAGGTGCCCCTCCCGATAAATAAATATGCTAAATAATCAATATAATTAATAATGTCAATTAAAAACAACATATCATCTTTTATCTAACATATTTCATTATTAAAATGTCAATCAGAATAACATACTATTTTCAGTTATTATTTTACATAACATCCGTTTACCAAACTATTTTGTTATTATATTTTTGTGCTATTATTACATACTTCATTTACATCATATTCTATCAGATTAATGAAAATATATTTATCTAATATCTATTTAATTAAATAGCCTCAAATTTTCAATATTTAAAAACGTTTACCAAGTCTTAAATTGGTAGAAGACGATCAAAACGACTTTCCCAATTTAAGTGTGTTGGTTCTTAAATTTCTGACTATCCCTGCTTCTTCGGTTAGCAGTGAAAGAGGGCTTTCAGCGGCTGGTAGGGATTTTGAAAATAAGAGGACTTGTTTAAAGCCTCAAACTAGACTTCTCATTATTTAGATATCACAATTATTCACTTATATTAGCACTCAAAGTAAAAAAAAATTAGTTGGGTTCGGGTTGGGTTGAAAAAAATTATTCGGGCTCGGGCCGAAAATCACTTTGCAGACCTAGAACATATACATCAATGATCCCAATACGACATATATATGATTTTTATTTATATAAAATTTCCTAATAATAGTAAATAAGGAATCAAAATTTAATTTATTTGTAATATTTAAAAAAAAATCGAATTATTTTTAAAGGAAATAATAGCAAAATATGCGGATATTATTTGGTTACCTTGAATTCGCAGTTAGCACGAAATCGCGCGGCGAAGTATACATAAATACACAAAAATACAGTATATTTTGTATATTTCGCCGCGCGAATTCGTACTTATATTATGAATGCAGGGTTATGTTTGCAGACAAGAAAAAAATTTAAAACATTTTAACAAATCACATTCAGCCATAAAAATCAATACTCATGTTTTAACTGAGATGATTAACTTTAAGGGAATAAAACAAAAAAAAACTCATTAATGATACTGATAATACACCATACTATAGCCTTGGATGAGTAACGGCAACTTTTAAATATTTCTTGTTTTGACAATAGTTTATAAATAGTAATTTTTTTTATAACATTGGTTCAAAGAGAGATGGATTATAAAACATCAGTCTAGATATCGGATAGATCAAAAATTTCTGGATCGCACCCTAATTTTAACATTGATTTTTGGTTTGAGCTCTAAGGGTATAGTAAAAAAACATTCTCTAACACATTTTCTCCTCATTTGAGATTTTTTTATAAAAAAAAACTTTGCTACGATTATGAGTAATGTTGTTGGCTCAATTTTTTTAAAAATTTCTAACCTAATATTTTACCCAAAAAATATTAAGCTGGTGATTAGATGTTCAAACTTTTCTGCCATCTATGAGAAAAATCTTTAGGCTTGTGTAATTTTTTATATATTGAATTAGCCGTTTTTAAAAATCGACCCGTTTAACAACACCATGAGACTTTTCCCTAGGTATAATGGTGCATATGTTGTGTTCGTTAATCTATTAAAAAAGAGAGGTTTTTTTAAAACAAGTTAACCTTTCAAGCACATAGCAGCGGCTCCTATGAGGGTATTAGCAGCCAAGCGCATGGCTTGAGCCCGAGACATTCCCATCATGACGGCTCCGTCAACCAGGGATTCCAAAATCATAAAGCAATAAGCAGGGCCGGATCCGCTTAGAGCTGTCACGCAGTCCATCAAGCTTTCGTCTTGTAGTTCTTGGTGTACCATAATAAAAGAAGAATAAAATTTGGTGGGTGGAGATTATAATTATCCAAGTACTTTTATAAGAATGGCGATTAATTTTAATTATCATTTTAATAATTGAAAACATTAGTTGTCCGGAAATTATGAAACTCGCTCAATGGATTTTAATTCCAATTTCCACTTAAAATTGCACGCCCTGTTAGGCTAATAAAATAATTAAACAAGCTGGGTTGGGTATTATTAGGGATATAAAAATGTATTTTTTTAAATGTAAAAAAAACAGGCCTTATATATTTATTCAACGGAATTTGGAAAAAGTCTTAAATTTATATGATTAATTTTCTTATAAAAAAAAATAACAGAGATAATTTAACAAAATAAGCGATTTATAAAATGATTATGACGAAAAAGTAACGACTATGTTATATTAGATGATGGTCATAATTAAAAATTTGGTAAATTACATTTTCCATAAAAGGATCTTAGTTAAAAAAATATGTATGATTAATTTTTTTTTTTAAAACAGAAAGAAAATAAATTATAACGTTGTTTATACATTAATATTTATTAGGGCCCGAAGGAAAGAAAGTTTTTATTAATTAAAATAAATCTGACTATTTTTTTTTATAATAACGCCTTATTTAATTTCTTTTTTAAAATAAATTTTTTAACAAAAATTATAATTTTATTTTTTGAAATTGTGTTTTGCAAAAAATTAACCTTCAACATACCCGACCGCGCCCATGAGATTGCGGATCAGTTTAGGATCGGTCGGTCTCACGCTGTTGCCGAGACAGTAGACCGAAGTTCCCTGGCCTATGTGCATTGCTATATTGGGCATCACGCGAGCGACTCGCGTGTGCATAGGCAAGGCCTGCGCGATTTTTTATAGTAAAAAAAATAATAAACAATGATGGATTATTTAAATAATATAATAGGTAATATGATTATAACTATAATTTAAAAATAGGGAACTAAAATTTTGAAAAAAGGATCATTAAATTTAAATCCTTATATTTAATGTTTTAATTATTTTATTTTAAAGTAAGATTTTTTAAAAAGAAATAAAGAATAATTTTTTTAAGTTAATTTGATACAATTTGAATCAGTTTAATTTAATATTTTATGGGTAAATTCCATTTCTAGATAATTTATAACCCAACCATTTTTTTAAATTTGAATAAAGATGATTAGCAGGCATCGAATCATAAATTTTAGTTTTCCTAGTAACTAAAATTTCAGGTTGTTCAAAGATGACATTTTTTTCGAAAAAAAAGATACCTGCCAATGTCCTGTCAGTATACGCAAAATTTTATCGAAATGAAAAAGGTCGGGTTATAAATTTATCGATTTGTTATAATTTACCCATTTCTAATTCATTAATTAATTTTCATTTTTGAAAGACCTGTAGATAACGTACCAAATAAAATATGAAATTAAAATATTTTCTAGGGGTCTAAAAAATTACAAACTGGGATTGAGGATGTTTGGACCGGATATGAATTAGTCTAAAAAATCATATGATTTTCGAGTTCAAAATGACTAAAAATGATTTCGGATATCATCGAAGAATTAAAATATTATAACCCCTTTTTATTTATTAACCTTAAAAGGGGTGACGTAAAAAAAATTTACAGTGGATAGAAATGATATTTACCTTTTCGATGTTTCTCAATGTCACTCCTAAGGCGAAAGATAAAATTAAATTTTTTTTCGAAACTTCGGGAGCAATTTCTGGCAATATTATGGGCATAACATTTGGTTTAACGGCCAAAATTACGATGTCGGCAAATTTGACTACTTCGCTGTTACTATGAGTCGTTTTTATTCCATTTTTCTATGAAATAAATATTTAGATAGGTGTTAGATAAAAATCCCTTCTATAAAATTCGTTCTTGTGATTAAATATATCAAAACATAATGATGGATCACCAATGTGGGAAGATTATTATCTAACAATTTGGTAATATATATATTTTTTTAAATTTAATAAAACATAAGAAATCGATCAATTTATAAGATTGTAATAAGTTGGCGAGACTTCGCAGCGTCTAAGTTTAAAAGATAATGACTGCATCAGATTTTACAAAATACCAATTAGTAAACCATTTACCTATAATTATTTAATTGACAATTAAAAAATAAACTATTTAATTTATTTTGGCAAAAAAGTGTATATTTTAAACCTACAAGCCCTTAACATAGGGTGTGTTGGATCAGCTGTTTATTATGTTTCAAAGCTATATTTTGGCACCAGTCTCGGTTCCTAAAATTTTTTTTTTTATTTACCCTACCAGATACGGTAATAAATATTATAAGAAAAATTAATTAATTAATCATAATGTGCAAAATGAATGAATAAGTTATTAAGTATCATTAATATAGAAGGGTTTTCGCGGCTTAAATTAATAATCAAAAAATATTTTTGCGGAAAGGGGATTTTTGAATTTATCATCTTCATCAGTTTAAATCGGAGTTTAAAAAAAAATTTCTTGTCCAAAATTTTGAGGAAAAATTCTTTGAAGATTTTATTTTAGATCAAAATATATTTTAAAAAAAATTTGTGATTTAAATCGTGAAAAATTTTTCGTGCATAAAAATCACAAAAATGATTTATTTTAAAAAAGGTTTTTAAAAATTGGAATTTTCAGATAATGTAACAAGCCGGAAACGTTCCTGGGAATTTCAAGCATATTCGCGGAAAAGAAATTTAAAATTTCCATTAAAATTCATGGGAATATTTAATTAATTCCTAATATTTGAATTTGAAAGAACAAAACGAGTACAAATTCTGGATGATAATCTTTGGGTAGTCCTTTAACATATTATAACCGATATTTATATATCCAGGTTTGCAATATTAAAAATTGATAAATCTAGTATATCAAAAGTACCGAATTCATTTTTCATTACATCATTGATAAGATAACAAATATATTTTCTTGGCGAAAATGATTAGAAATATATATTACAGTGAGTGAAAAACGCAGTTTTGTTGTAAGAATATTCATTTCGCAGCAAACATATTTGATCCTAGTTTCAGTAGTTTTGAAATAACCAATGATAAGATATCATCTGGCGAGGTTGCAACCGATGTCCTAAATTCAATACTGATATCGGATGGATTACTTAATTTCATATATATACATATATATGTCAATCTTTATAAATTCAAGCAAATAAAAGTTTATGCATCAAAAATTAATATATTGCAGTTTAAGACTTCAATCCTAAGGTTTACACTATTTAGTATATATATATTTCATTGACATGACTCATTTAGGGCTAGAAAAAATTTACAAATTTTTATTATTTTTTAGTCAATTGAGACATTTTAATAAAGTTCCCCAAAAATTCTTATAATTCTAGGAGCGGAAACTTTACGTGTATGAACATTCTCAAAATAATCTTCAATCTTTCAAATTTTTTTTACATTTTGAATAGCATTTCAAACAGAGGGTTAGTTTTTGTTTTTACTGCACAGGGGATCTCCGTTATTGATCAAATTTCATTTAAAAAAAGGTATCAATATCCAATCGGCGAATACATTTTTTTATTGGCATCAGCAAAAAAATGGTAAAGGAGTATCTTTTATAAAAAATATATTTAAATTTAATTAGTGCATCATAGACAATATAGAATTAATCGGCAGTATTCATTTTATTCATCTAAATGATTTTTTTTTCATTGCAACTTATAAGCAGGGTTTAACATTTACTCAAAATTCAAAAATGATTTTTGAAGATAAAAAAATTGAAAAAGAAGATTTTTGACCAAAATAAAAAACGTTTTTGTAAAAAAATAATCTATGATTTTGAGCAAATAATATGGGATTTTTATCATATAAAAAATCTTTTATTAATTTTTTTAAAAATCTTAATTTAAAAAAAAAATTAAAGGGAAAATTATAGAAGATTTTTTTACAAAAAACATTGCTCAAGAGAATGCTTAAAACATTTTCGTTACATATTTTCAAAATATTTTGCTCAAAATTTTGAGTGGCAAATCTTTAAATGTTCAAGAAGATTTTTGCTAACCCTGTTTGTAAGTACTCTTTACTTTATTAATTTATATTAAATTAAAAAAAATAACTTTTTGAAATATATTTCTTCATTTTTTTAAAAAAAAATGCATATAAAAAAAAGAACCAGCTAAAATGACAGATCCAAATAGGTAATATCTATGGATCTGGTACATCACAAGTTTTATTGGTATAAATATTTACAACTTATAAAATATATTCTATATTTATTTATATTCTTTCAGGATTTAAATTTTTTTTATTTATTGTCTAAAAATTGTATAAATTAAAATGTAATATTTTAGGCTTGAAGCTACATTACAAAAAAAAAGTAAAACACATATATATATATAAATATAGTTACATCATTTCTCAATTTATCCCATTAAGATATGATACTGTTTTAATTAAAGTGGACAAAGCATTTTGCTGAAGGCTTATAACCTTATTGGCTAATAAAAAAAAAGGAATCAAAATTTTAAAAAATAATTTTTTCTCGTCTGGCTTGTGCCACTCCCTTATTAAAGAATTGATAAATTAAACAAAATTAAACAAGGGTTATATATTTGAAGAAACACTAAAAATATTTCCTATTCTGGAGCTTACTTAAACCCATATTTAAAAAATATTACCTGTTTTATATTTCCTATTTAATTATATGTATGATTCATAAAATTGTCAAAATCATTTTAAAATAAATGTTTAAATTGCCAAAATAGCCTCATAAATTGGAAAATAGAGGTCCAAACCTTTCTGCCATCTATGAGCAAAATTTCTAGGCTTACATAATACTATTTTGGCTAAAATCTTAATCTGGTTGATTAAAAAAATTGACCCAAATTGGGCTTTTTAACAACCCTAACAAATTTTTTTTCCCTATAAAGTTCATAAGAGTAGTGTTGTTAAATGGCTTGATTTAGCAAAATAATATTATGCAAGCCTCAAAATTTAGCTAATAGATATCCAAACCTTTCTACCATCTATGAGCAAAATCTCTAGGTGTGTAATATTTTTTGGCTAAAATATTTGAGCTAGCTGTTTTTAAAAATCAAGCCCTTTAACAAAATTATTTACAAGTATAAATATTTGATGGTAAAAATAATTAGTGCATAATTACTTATGTAAAGTATAATATAAATAATAGAGCAAAAAGAATATATAATTAAATCATACAGCAATATGTTCTAGAAAAATATTATCAATTTTAGATCTAGGAGCACTGGCTATTATATTTTTAGCTGTAATTTCCCCTAGAAAAAAATATAATTTCTGATTTATGTCTAAAATTTACCAGCATTTATTATTCCTTGAGCCATAGCTTGGGCTACTTTACCAGCTCCTATAAACCCTAATTTCATTTTTTTCAAAGCATGCAAACACATGGTTAATATCACATGCTGATATTATGTCAACAAGGAAAGCTATAAATATATTGAAGATTTTCGTTTTTATCCAATTTTGGAAACTAAAATGTAGAAAATATGAAAAAAACAATTCACAAAAATTAGACGATCTCACATTTAGAGAAATTAAAATTTGTAATAAGCCTAAAGACTACACAAAATGAATTTGCCAAACGTATGAATTTTAATCTATTTAAAATGATGGGAGGAGAACTTTTAATTTAATTTATTTATAAACCAATTTCACTAGGATCAAAATATATTTATTAAAAGTATGTTGATGTGTTGATACTAAATTGAGGAATCGATAATGTCGAACATGGATTTGTCGAATCTCGAAATAGATCTTCTTCTTCGATAAAGAAAATAAGGATATTAATTTCAAATTTATTATCAATTTGGTGCTACATCGGAGCTTCTAGATAAAAAAATGTTAACAAAGTTAGATTTAAAAGTCTTTGAAGTATCATAATAATATACCGGTTTTGATAAAAAATATAATAAAAACATAAATATTGTTCATAGTTCTTAAAACAGTAAGAAATCATATGATAATGACAATTACATTAAGCAATGATAAAATTTAAAAAAAAAGATATATAGCAAAAGGGAGATTGTTGTCTACGTTGTACCACTGCCAACTGAAATGACAGATGCATTTAAGGATGTTCTAATTAGAGATCTGCAAAAGTAGACCCGGCTCGAACGGGCTTCGGGCCGGGCTCGGGCCTAATATTTTAAAATAAATTCGGGCCTGGTCGGGTCTTAGAATTTTTTTTAAAATATATTTAAATTTATAAATTTTATATTGAACTTTTTATATAAACTAGACGCCATATAACATAGTCTTTTATTTTAAGTAAATATAAAAATTAATTTCTATATTTAAATAAGTTCGGGCGGGGTCGGTAAATTTTCTTTAAAAAAAAATCTGGTTCGAGCCAGCAAAACTTTTAGAAAAAATTTCAGGTTTGGGCTGGGCCGGCTAAACTTTTTAAAAAAAAATTTGGGTCGGGCCAGGCTTGAAAAATTTGGCACGATGCAGATCATTAGTTCTAAGTAAACAATCAAGATCATTTTGTCAGATTATTTAAAATCCGATTTTTAAATAAATTATGTTAAGGAGGCATCAGGATCCGACGTTTGAATTTGAGGAACAGCGAGAAGAAATAACCGAGCCAAAATAGTAGCGGAAATCAATGGGTTATGCGCACATAGAAAACTATGCTAAATTAACTATTTTTCACTTATCAATAAAATGCAATTTTATAGCCCCCCCCCCTAGTGTTGACAAGAAAGAGAGATGTGCTAGGGTTTTCTCAAATCCATCAATTATATACTTAATATAGGGGAAAAATATAGAAGTCCATGGCACCTCTGTAGGAAAACCGCACGTATTTGAATCTAGGACTATTGTTTAAACGTCTGTAGGCTGAGATAAAAAGAAGGGGAAAGCGGAGGCTATATCCACGAATTGCACATACATTGACTTTATGGAGTAGGGGAAATTCTAATTTTAATTTTAAACATCTAAAGTTCTTGGGTGTTGATGTTAGTATTATGAATAAAAGTCTATTGTCATGTTGACCATCTAAAACATATATAATTAATAAATAAGTAATATCTTTAATCTTACTATTTATTAATTGCATTTTTAATTATAGCTGGTGTAGAAAAAGTTGGTTTGTTGATTTTCATAATAGGAATTGATGGTATATTTGCATGCAAACGATACCAAATTAAATTAATATAATCTGGATTATATTTTGGTAACATTTCTTAAAAAATAAATAGCGTGACCGGTTAGAGCTGAAATTAGTTTTGTTTTATATAAATATTATAAAGATTTAGTTTATCATATTTATAGATTACGGATTAATCCTAAATGAATAAAATGTAATATATATTATTTAACTTCTAAGTACCTTCACTCTTAAAAAAATATTGTTTTCATTTATCAAATGATCCAATTCAATATCCATTTGCACCAGAACTATTGTTTTTTAATAGCGAAGAAGGTAAAAAAAAATAATATTTATATGGACATTTTAACCTTAAATAGTAGGAATTTAGTCTTTAATAATGTTGATTCAGCGTATCCACTGTCAAATTTGATAAATTCGAAGTTCAATCCGTTATTTCTCTACTTGGCAAGCCAGTTTTTGTTTAAAAAATGTAAGTCCAACTGAATTTCAATATAAAAATTTCATTTTAACATTTTTGAAAATAAAAATATTAAATTAGTTGATCTGGTTGTAATCCAGATTCTATTTAAATGTTATCTTTTAAGGATATCAGGTCAGTATTTTTTAAAATATTTTAACAGACGACTACGACATTTGTGACTAGATTGGATTTTGTTAGCGGAAACTATAACTGAATCGCAGATAAAATTAGAACAATTGGCGATTACATTAGGATATGATTGGCATGGAAATTCTTGTATTGGTATCAGATCTTCGAGCTCCATATCCTGATGATTTTGATAAGGATAATAATATATTGACTTTCCAATTTATTCCTGATCTGGCAATCGCTTTTGAGTGGGCAGATAACAAAGGAAATGATGATAATAATAAAAATTCAAAAATAATTTTGAAAACTTCAAACTAAAAAATGCGATATTAAAATAAAATTTCTATTGAACCTTCCATTAACAGCAAATTAAAAAAGGAGAATATAAATTTAAATCGATAAGAAAATCTATATTAAAGGAAGGAATTATTCAATTATAATAACTTCTTAACCAATAAAAAATGCTAAAGACGATAAGAAAGATCAATACATTTCTTTGCTCTCATAATTGTTTTATTAAACATCACAATCAAATGTGGTAAAAATTCGACATTTTTCTAAGAGAGCATATCCTCATATATTGAGTATCCATGTGGCTAGTTTTTTGATGTGTGCAGATAAAAAATTAGGTTTATATATCTTATTTTCACAAAATCTTTACAGCTAATATTTAACTTAAATTTATCATATTAGCATATTGCTTAAGAAGGAACCTCCTTTCAACATATTTATATAGAATTTATTTTGCATTACCTTTCAAGGTCTATCAACATGTTTAAAGTCGCTTGTTAATGTATAAGTCACTGTATAGAAAATTTCATTCTTTTAGATCTATCACATTAGAGAGTAATTTAACAACCATAACAACTTATAACCTATTGATCGCTACAGTTCTTAGCCATACAGTTTTGAAGGGTCTGTCATCGGTGTTTAATACATTAAAAAAATTAATATCATATTAGAATGATCTCCTTGTATCCTACTACGTAAAATGAAGGATTTAAATATAAAATTCTTACATGCTGATACTTTCTTTCCATAATTTTAAATTATTCCTGCATTATTTTTAGTTATATTTTATCAGAGTTGTTAAAAGATACTTTTTAATGGATCTAGATACAGATACATTGTCTAAAAATTTATCTAGATACAGATACAGCTTCTAAAAAGTTATCTTTATACAGATACAATTTAAAATGTATTTAGGTACAGATACATTTTTTTATACTCTTAGATAAGGTTTGATTAAACATAAATTAGGATTCTATTGTGAAAATTCATGAAATGATCTAAAAAATTTATTGACTCAATATCACATTTATCAAAATATAACTAAAATAATGATTTTTAGATATTAATTTAATATATGATTAATATAAATAATAATTATATATCATTAATAAAATAATATAATTTATGATTAAATGATTATAATAACTAATTATTAGATTTCAGTAAAATATTTTCAAAATTTTGGTTATTAAGACATCCTCGATTATCTGTAAAGACATTTTTAGCTATACTAAAAGGTCTTTCAACAGGGGCGCTGGAAGGGATTGTGGTGTTATATTTAATGAATAACATTTTTATATCAGGATATTGTTTAAAAATACTAAAATCTCGGCATTCATTTTTGAAAAAACTATTTAAACTTTGTTGATTATCAGAATTTAAATCATTAACAATCATATCTCCTGCTGTGGGATACTGAAAAAAAAATCGAATATTAAATTATTGGTTTTTTTTCACAGGTTTATGAATCTGATATTCCAAAATCCTGAGCAGTAGTATAAAGATCTAATATTGATATTGGTGCAACTATTTCTTCATCTTCTAGATCATCAATGTATTCACTAATATTTTCAATTGGATTGAAAACTCTATGATAAATAAATAATATTATGTTTATATTTATAATAAAATAAACCTAAAAGACTTAATAAAGTTTTTGGCATTATCAGTAATGGTCTTGCTATATCTTGTAAATATTTTGTTATTTTATCATATGTATGACTACCAGTCATTCTTTTACAAGCCAACGATACATTTTTTCTTTCCAAACTTGTTGGATCTATATAGTGTGCAGTGACCTCTATGTATGAACTAAAAATTAACATTTCTTAAAACTGCTCAAATAATTTGTTTGTAATTAAATAATTATACAAATTTAAATGTTAGCTATACCTGCGATAGGCATTCCAAAAATCTGCTGTTGTACATATTAACGATGGTTCTATTAGACTTTTAATAATTTCTTTCTTTTCATTCTTCTATCTTTGGGAGATTCTAGTAACCACTGTCTGTCGGCAAATTATATTTTTTTGTGGAGCTAATGTTTTGATTATTTTTATAAATGAAGGATTTTCAAAAATTGAAAATGGCTGAATGCTATCTATAATAAAATCAGTTATTAAATCATCTAAAGTGGTTTGGGTTAAAGTCTGAGGTCTCTTGGAAAAAAAATCAATGGACGATGAGCCTAGTCCAATATTTTCTTTAATAGATTTTTTCTCCTTCCACTTTTTTATTTAGATTAAGAGTGTTTGATGTTTTCTCTTAAAATTTAAAATTGTAAACATTTATTTAGTAACTATACCCTTTAAATGTTTTACAATGTTGCAAGTTGAGGTATGCTAACTGAAATTTGGATATTTTTTGGTAGACATGGCAAACATTTTACCAGCAGAGATTTGTTTTCTTTATTTTGAGATATTATTTTAATATGGTCTATAAATGGGCCCTGGAAGAATGTCGTAATTTTCGTCATCAATATTAATCTTAAAAATTAATATAATAGAATAAAATAAAATAAAATACCAATTCCATTGCAATTAAAAATGGCAAATTCCTTGAGATGGATTGTAATATCAGAATTTGCTTGTTATTGATAACTCAGACATAATATTTAATTAATATTTATATATTCATTTTTATATAAGTTTTAATATTTTACATATATATATAAATTTTTATTATATATATTAATATTAAGTTATTTGCTCATATGAAATAAAATAAATTTTACATTCAAGTATTTTTATTTATAATAAGCGTTAAATAAAAGTATATAAAAATGTATCTTAAAAAGTATCTAAAAACAGATATAGATACCTCTAAAATAATATCTAGATACAGATACTTTAATAAAAAATCTATCTAGATACAGATACTACATTTTTATATCTAGATACAGTAACTAGATACTTTAACAACTCTGTATTTTATGATGCATATGCTATGTTTAGATTTTTTAATATAATTTTATGCTAAAAATGCTAAAATAAAAAAGATATATATTAGATTAAATCTAGATGTTGACCACTTTGTTATGTTAAAAGGGGGAGAAATTACAAAATAATTTTACCTGAGTTTCTTAAAAGTCTTAAAAGATGGTAGTTATATTGTAAATGATCGTAATAACAATAATTATGATAACCTTGAAGCTTCTTGAATTGGAGTTTAAAAACGTTTTATTTAAAAATAATAAATTGAAGTCATTAAGATATGTCTAAATTGATAAAATCTATCTACATCGACAAATAAGGATGTATACTTGCCATTTTAGTAATAATGCATTTTATATCATGCAAGGAAAAGATGGGTGATTGATTGAATAATTTGATGCGTGTATAGAGAGTTATGGGTTTAGGTTAAGTAGGAAGAACAATGCAGGAAATTATCCTAATCAATACTCCATAATCAGCATTATTTGGTGACAGATAAGGAGCATAGATTTTTTAAAATACCAGTTTGATGAAGTCACAATATTCGCCGGAGTTATATATTATAAGCATTTAACACTCAATAAGTCATATATATGCAACTCACAATTTTGCATAGTTTAGAAACTTGTGCTATAAAGAAAATGGTTTTGTAACGATGTAAAATGAATGTCAGGGGTTTGTAGGAAGGAACATAGAAGTGAAGTAAAGATATTTTAATCAGCACAAGTATTAGTTAAGATAGTTTGGTCATATAGAAATAATAGAGGAGAAATAAGCCATACCTATGTAAAAAAGACATCTGATAGCAAATGATATTAAGGTTAATATGATCGATAAAAGTATAGGCGGCTATGATTTTCTTAAGAAAAAGAGAGGGGGGGGGGTGAGATTGTCGCTTTTTACGAAAATAATTGAATGTAAGGGCATTAGGTAGTGTTGCTAAACGGCTCGTTTTGAGTTGATTTTCAAAACTGCTAACTCAATATTTTGGCCAGATTAATATTGTCTAAGCTTAGATTTCGATAATATATGTCTAAACCTTTGTTCCTTCTAGCAAAATCTTCAGGCTTGAGTAATATTTTTCTGGATGAAATATTGAGTTAGCCGTTTTTAAAAATCAGCTAAAAACGAGCCATTTTACAACATTCATTAGGCCCTGAAAAAATAATTATGATAATGTTTTTCTTTTCTGAAAAAAAATAAAAAATAATTAGCCTGTAACTTTCAACCTTTTAATTATTATTTATTATGACATAAAATATTCATTCATTTTGATAGGGTGGGATATGTGGGAATAATATTTAATATACAAATTCCGTAAAGGGTGGGTCTCGAAGCCCTCCCCCACCATGGCTATGCTTAAGGAAAAGGTATATCTTAGTTAAAAGAGATTAGAGTTAAATGATAATAGATCACAAGATTGGGAAAATGGATTGTGATAAATGGAAACAACGAAATATATGTTAACCACATAATTACGACTTGATGAATATACTCAGTCAACTGATTTATTGAGCTTTGAAAAGAACCAAAATATGGTTCAGACATAAAATTTTAAATAAATTTAGGCATCCTTAGTGACTAATCTGAAAGGATTTATTATGAGGTATTAGGAAATGACTTTTATTTAAAGTAGTATGAAATTATTAGGCTAAGGGAATTCATCAATTTGTAAAATTTTTATTTTAGAGATATTTCGGTAATTATAATTTTGTTATCTTTGTTAAACAATTCTAATGAAATAAAAATTTAAAATATAAACTTGTCATACTTATTAAATTACAAATTTTTTCAAAAATATATTTATATAATTACATTATGTTGAAGCGTGCGAAAAAAAAATATGAAAATATTTGATTAAGTATGTAATTTTCTATTTAATTTTTTTTTTATTATTTAGTTATGGAAAATATCTCAAAAACAAAAATTATACAAATTGATGGATTCCCAATCCTATAACATATATAAAAAAAGAATAAGTATCATTAAATATTTTAAATATTGTGGTAACTCACTGAAACTTGGGGAAATTTTTAATATTATTTTTTTTTATTTATTCGAGATAACCAATGTTTATTTATAATATTTATATTAAAAAATTAGTTATTTTCAAAGAGCGTCTTTGGCCTAATCGGATGAGTGCTTGTATCTCAATCCAAAGGTTTTGTGTTCGAATCCCGTAAGGATCATGCATTTTTTTCTGAAGCCAACTTAGTGGTTCCGTCTTTGGGGGGAATGATATATAATAGTGGATCGGACTCGACCATGAATATGTCTTATTAGATTTTTCTAAAAATTGATCGTTGTTTAGTAATTTTTACCATTTGAAAGAATTTTTTAAAGAAACCAGGCGTATAAATAAGGGTGGGAAAGTGGGAAATCTCTTTACATCTTAAATTTGTCTGTTCTCATAAACATCATTTTAAGCTATCTTCTCCTCACTTCCCAAAATTTGTACATTATATCACTACAAACAAGAATTTAAAGAAAAATTATTAAAAATAATTTTTCTAAATTATAAAAAAAAGTGAAAAACGAGAAATGATTTTTGTAAAAATATAACATAACCAAAAGTCTACAATAAGTAGTCCGATACACCTATATACCTTTAATAACATTTTTTTCGGAAAATCCAATCTAACAATGCCCCATCCCACCCATAGGAAAATTCTGGATGCCTATGAACAATTTAAGAATCAATTTTCATTCTCAAAATTACTTTTTAAACTTTTCCTAATCTGCTCTGATGTAAATCTATATTTTATTATTTTTTTCCAATAAATATTCAGAATTTTTTCATTCGTCTATCACAGGTTTGCGCTTTATGAGAAGGTTTAGAAGGTTTTAAGGAATATTAAACTTTAATCTTAATAATTTATTATAAAAATTTCGGTTTACTCTTACTAAAAATATGAAATATTAATATTTTTTTTATTGATTAAATATTGTAGTTAATTGTTAAAAAAAACAGTGCGAATTTATTAAAAATTAATGAGCCACTTATAATAATAACTGCTTTTATCAATTTTTTATCAAAGATTTTAATTCTATGAATGAAATTTTATTGTTCATTTATAAATAATCGTATAATATCTTTATTTGTATATTACGTTTGAATCCGTATATTTACATATGATTTACATTTTTTTTGAAAAAATATAAAATCCACAAAGGTCTTTTCCATTTCCTTACTCAGGATAACTTGGAATATCCGAAATATATATATAATTTTGAAAAAATAAATATAATTTAGTTATCACATTAACAAGCATTTTCCTTTGAGTTTATCCCGCCTTTTTTGAGTCTTAGTTTTTTTAACGGAAGTCGATGAAGTTGAGGAAGAGGTGGCATGGAGAGAAACATGCCTCCGTTTTTCCATCTTCAATAGCTCTTCAAAAACTTCCTTGATGTTGAAATTGGTTTTAGCACTGGTTTCCATAAAGGCGCATGACCAGATTTTAGCCTGCCTCGTACCGCAATCCGTGCTAACATGTCTATTATCGGGAGCCTCATCTACCTTGTGGGTTTGCCAGAAAAAAAAATATAAAGTGAAATCAGTATGAAAAATTTATCCTAGTTAAAATTTATATAAAATTGATGGTAAATTAAAAAAAAAGAAGTAAACATTTTTTCTTATTGAGATAGTTTTAAGCGTTTATTTATCAAAAAAATTTTTCTCTTGATCTCGCCACTTAAACCAGGTATGGGCCGATAAAAATCATCCTTTTTAATTTTCAGTAACTTTCAATTTCCTTTTATTTTGAAAATAAAATTATTATTTTTAGAGATAACCGTTGTATATTTTATTTATAAGAATATATATATTTATCAAGATACTAAATTAAAAGTTAAGTTAGACTTAAAAAAAACATGATATTAACATTTTATATGTTCATCTAAAAACTAATAAGACAACTAGTGTTTGTTAAATCACTTAAATTTAGACAATTCTAGAACGACCTAGCCAACTTATCCTATTTTTTTAGTCTTAATCTTCAACTTGAAGTTCAACTTAGAGGTTTATTTCAAATTTTTTAATTTAATAAAAGAATCTAGAGACAATGATTTTATTTACTGTCATGTCCATTAATAGTTTACTAACTACCAAATTAATTCAAATGTTTTAATATTTTCCCCAATAAATCAATAAATTTAAAATATTAAACTTCCTTTTATATGACTCTCTAAATTAACCAATAAAATTTTATAACTTGCTCTAGGCATTAGTAATCTTACTTTATTTCCCACTAGCATGATAGGCACGTTTTCCATCTCATTTCCTTTTATTTCATTTATCATTTCATAAATGGGTTTTAAATCCTCCAGGGATTGAATCCTAGTAACGCTGTATACCAGAATAAACGCGTGCCCTTTGGAGATGTTAAGCCTCTGCATGGCCGGAAATTGGTGACTTCCCGTTGTGTCAGTGATTTGTAATGTGCATATATGCTTGTTGCAGTATATAACTTGTCTATATATATCTTCCACGGTTGGAACGTAGGATTCTCTAAAGGTTCCTTTGACAAATCGTACCACGAGAGAGGATTTACCTACCCCTGCGGCTCCAAAAACCACGACTTTATAGTCGTTACTCTGTTCAGGCATCGATGGCTCGAAATAAGGTTTACCGCAAAGGTTTCGGGTTGATAGCGAGGGAGTAGAAAGATTGGAATCTACGTTATGCCTATTGTAATCGTTATTGGTCGATATAATATTACTACAATCGAAACCAGCTTTATTACTAAGTAAAGATTCGGAATTAAGGACGGTGGCTTTTTTAAAGGTGTCCAGCAAATCGGCAAATACGGGAGCTGCGGAAAAAGTCTTATAAATGGACGGAGCGAAGATACTATTCTGAACTGAAACTTGGGGGATTTTGATCGAAGATAAGTGTGAGCTTTTATTTTGACCCCCACAGCTCCAAACACAACTCCCTAATTTATAGGTTATGAATTTGATTTTTATTTATGTAAGCTATTCACACTTCTTCCTTATTTGAGAACGATCCCCTTTTATATATATTTTTTTTGAAATAAGAATATTGTAAATATAGGAAATTTATATTTTTGATATAAAAGAATATATAATTATTGTAATATAAATTATGGAATGAAATTTAAACAAAATTATAAATAATAATAAAATTATAAAAGTATTAAAAGTATAATTTAAAGACCCTGTCTAAAAATATTTTGTGTCTAAAATTTGCATATAAATTTACCATATATATAGTATATATATAATAATATAATTTTAATAATTTATATTGCTTTTTTTTAAAAAAGAATAATTATATATCCTCTCTCATAAATGTGTATAAATATAAAAATTTAAGTATTAAATTAAAGAATTTTATTTTCATTATATATATATAAATATGTTGGGAAGGATAAGGATTAACCGCAGTTTTTAAAAAATACGATTCTTTGACTATCCATTAAATAAAATGAAATATTTCACTCTTTTTTTTATACATATTCCTTTTCCATCTTATAATTTATAAATAGTTCAAATCAAAAGCATTTCTATTAAAATGAGTAGAATAATAAAGTTATAATTAGTTATAATGAAAAATCAATATAAAAATAATATAGGGTTGTTGTAATATTAGCGTTACTTACATACGAATAGTTATAATACTATTTGAATTTGTTTAAGAAATTTTATTATAAAAATAACGTATATCAAAAACTTTTTCTTATAATATATATTTTTGACAGTTTTCGTTTTCTTGAAATATTTTTTATTATCAAGATCTCTTAAAAAAACTAATATTATATTTAACCTTCCTCATAATATATACCAATTCACTAGGGATTTTTTAATAATAACTTAAACTAGAACAATATCATCATATATTATAATACTAGCCTAAACTATTTTAAATTTACAATAAATTTGTATAAATAAATGTAATGTAATATAAATTAATACAAGTATAAAATATAATTATGTAAATTTAGGGGATGTTTAAAAAATTTAAATAAAGAAAACTGAAAAAAACCTATATCTATACGAACCGTTATCTTTAAGGTCTCTGGTTCGTGTTCAGAAAAAAATTGGAAATTTTACGATTCTAAGTTATTAAAAGTTTCATGTTCGGTTAAAAAAATTATAAAGGTTTATTCGGGTTTTAACTCTAATATTTATGAAATTTACTTCAAATTAAAAATGTAAAAAAATACATCCGGAGTGAATTAATTTTTAACTTGTAATTGAAAGTAACAACATTGAAAAAGTTTTGTGCTAGGAAATTTACGTATACGAGTTGCGGGCCTCTAATTTTGAAACACTCAATTTAACAAAATGAAGCGAGTAATAAAATGATAGTATAATACTGTTACTGAAAAATTTCCTACAAAATAGTGGTAGATTGTATCTAAGATAATTGTGAAATTTTCAAAAAAATTTCAATTAAATATTGATAAATTATATTTTCCATAAGGAATGTTAGAATAGTAATAGAAAGTTTAAAAAAACATAAAAAACAACTTCGGGAAACGGGGTTTTTTCATCTTTAATTTAATGAGATATATACAATAAAATATTTTTTTTTCCAATTTTATAAAATATATATTTTTTTGGTATAAAATTTCCAATAACTAAAAACTCGCCTATTTAAAATTTTATTTCAAATAAATTGGTTGAAGGGAATATTAGATAATATAGCAGAAACAATACGGGTATTTTTTATATATTGATATTTTATACAGTAAGTTATTTTTAAATATGTTCATTAGGGAAATTAGTATTTTAAATTTTAAATGCTATATTTTATATTTAAATTTGAAGGGAAATTATTTTTTAAAAATTGCGACCATGACAAAAGCCAACACTAAAATATTTTTCTTTGTCGATTGTAGGAAATACATAGAATTAATATTGATATTTTGTTTTGCAAAAATATTTTTATAACTTATAAGCCTCTATTAAATCTATTTATCAAACAAGAGCGGTGTAAAGTAAGTTATAGCAAAATATATTAAAAAATATAACCAATATATTAATGATTGAGCCTTTTCTTTTTTTAATAAAATCTTTATAACAAAGATATTGGGACTTCAGTTGTATAGACATTTTCATCCCATCACATCATAATTACGATCCATTAGGCATAAAGGAATTAAGAAAATATCAAAAATATTCGCATCTAGCCGACAACAATATATACATACCCATTGTGGTTTGAACAAACTGCTCATTTGGGATGGAGGCTAAATTCATAATCTAACTAATTAGCCAAAGGAGCCATAAAACAACAATCTCAAGGGCCCTTTTGTTTAAACAAAAAATGGGTTGAAATAGTATGTTACAATTTTAAATTATTCAAAGATTCATAGCCGTCACCAGTATTTTTAGCAAAAAAATCTTTTCTTCTTCTAAATATGTTATCATATATGCAGTTTACATGTTATTCTAACTATTTAATAATTTTCGATTATTAAATTTATAAAAAATTAAAAGAATAGTTTAAACATAGATATACTAGAGATTTTTTTTAATCTAGAAGGAAAATCAAAATGGAACATAAATTCAGAGAGATCTCAAGAACAAGAGTTATATTAAGGATCGTTGAATTAAAAATTATTCTGTAAGTTGGTTAATAGCTAAAAATAAGATAATTCGGGCTTAATCTACAAGCTTTAGCTTGTCAAAGAAAATTCGTAAAGCAATGATGAGAGAATTAATATATTTTCTGATTTTGCTAAAGCTGAGGTATATTTTCAAACAAAATAAAAACCTGACATTTAAGTAATAGTTTTGGGACAAATGATGTTGAATATCGCTAAACTCACTATTTTTTCCTGAAAAATATTATACGAACCTTAAGATTTTGCTCATAGATGGCACAATGGTTTGAATATCTATTAACAAAATCTTGAGTCTTGAGCAATATTTTTCAGGCCAAAATAATGAGTTAGCCGTTTTAATAGACTCAAATCGAGCCTTTTAACAACACTATTTTGGACTAAAAACTAGAATTTGCTTAAAACAGCTAACGGCCAAAAAACGGCTTAAAATGGAACAATGACTAAAATGTAACTGTTTGAAAAATAAAAATAAAAATGTATATACATTAATATTTTTTAAATTGTTGAATTTCAATGTAGACCTATATTATTTTCTTATTTTAAAAAAACTCTTGCGTTTTATATCACGAATAGCACCTAAATAAAATGATATTCAATATCTAATAGTCATGGTAATTTTTGAAGGTCCTGTTCCATTGTGCAAATTAATAAAATTTGCTACATATATCATTGTTTTGCACCAAAAATGCAATTTTTAGGTTAATATCAGGTTATAATAGCAAAAAATGCGAAATTAACCTGATTTCGCACAAACTAATTTTGGCGAAATAGTAAAATTGGCAATAAATTTCCATTATTGAATCATTTTTTTTCCATATCATCTGTTATTCTAAAGGCTATTTTCAAAAAATAAAGAGGTTAACATATTTATTTTTAAAGTTTAATAGATCCAACATTATATTTAGCAAGAGTCCAGTATGTTGATAAGCGAAATCAAAAATTCAAAAATTTTGTCTTTTTAAATTCGTACAAGTCTGTGTCTGCCTGCAAAATTTATTATTTCGCAAATTTATATTCATTTCGGGTTTAAGGGCATTCATAAAAAAAAAAGCTGGAAAATAAATATATAGTTATTTTTATGAATTTTAATTATAATTAAAAAATATGTCTTTGTCTACCAAAATTAGATTGGGGGTTTTAAAGCTAATTTGTTGGTTATTTTATCATTTTTTTAAAAAAAAATACTCTTTATTTCAAAAATAATTTAAAAAAAAAATACGTTATAAGCTAATATGTTTTTAAAAACATAATGATTCAAAATTTTTAATGTGCAAGAACCCGAAATAGCCAACGAGGTCTACAATAAAATGTGCCCTTAGCCACTCAATAAAATATATAGAGGAAAAAATTTATTTAATAGATTACCTCTCCTTCCAGGATAATTCTCGCTACACTGATGACCTAAGCGTATCCAGGATTTTGTTGGGGGGGGGGGTACTATTAAGTAATATTGTTAATAGGCTCCATTTGAGCCGATTTTTACATATTATAGCTAGAAAAATATTACGCAAGTCTGAAGATTTTGCTTATAGATGGCAAAATCTATTAGCGAAATCTAGAGGTTTAAGCAATATTTTTCTGGCGAAAATATTGAGTTAGCAGTTTTAAAAATCCTCAAATCGAGCGATTTAATAACATTATTATTAGGTGAGTCCCCCCCCCCCCCCATTAATTTTAATGGAGGTCTCTAGGCCTACTTATTGTAGGTTTTTAATTATATTAAATTTAAAAAAAAATGATTTGGGGGGTTTCACTTTTTTTAAAAAAATATAAAAATGCTTTATTTTCCCCAAAAATTTTCTAATTATGGCCTTTAATTTAAAAAATTATTAACTATTTACTAATTTTTCTTTCAAATTCTTCTATATAGTAATATATTGTATACATATCAAAGAGAAGGAGAGGGGTGTGTAGGCGAAATTTTTCCCCTGGTTATGCGCATGACCTAAGAAACATATGCAGGACAAAGTTTATGAAAGTATCATCCATAACATAGTTATTTTTTTTAACTTATAATTATGAGCATCATCAAATGCAGTTATATATTGTAAATAAATTATTTTTTGCTCATTCTTTAAATTGATAAAAATATACAATTTTGTTGGAAATATATCCTTAAAACCCGACTCTATAATTTTTAGAAAATTTTTTGCCGTGAATAAACTTTTGAGCTTAAAAAAAATTTCTATTCGTTTACCCGTAGATAATTTATATAATTTTTTTTAAATGACTTTAAAAAGTTAACGGGCAAAGTTCCCTAAAATTCATAGTGTAGGTCTATTTTAAACAAACTGAAATACGTTTCGGGTAAAATCAGTTTTTTAAAACTTAAAAAAAAAGCGCTTTCAAAAGATGATATTAAATTGTAAAAAATATCGCATTGACTAACTCATGTAAACCCTATTCCACCAAGAACT